CCCTGCAGCTCCTCTGGGCCCTCGTGCAGAGGCAGCCTGTGGCACGCAGTTGCTGCAGGGGGCCTGGCGCGGGCCTGTCAGTGGCGCTCTCAGCAGCGGGCAGACGGTGCTAATGCGGGGCTTCCATGGCCGTGCGGACTGTGGCAGGCAGTGCTCCGCTGCAGCCGCTCCGGGGCCTGGATCCCAGCGCCACGCCGCCTCCCGCCTGGCCCCCCGTGGTTGTCTGGCTCAGGAGCCCGGGAGAGCTGGAGGACCACGATGACAGGCCCAGACTGTGTGTTGAAGTGCAAATCTGGTGGCTTGTTCCCCTGCAGAAAGACGGCCGGTCCTCCCCAGAGCTTGTTTAATAGCTTCCTGAGACGTAATTCACATGTCGTTCCAATTCATCCATTTAAGTATACAACTCAGTGGCTTTTAATATATTCGGAGTTAGTGCAATCAATTTTAGAACCCCAAAAAAGAAACCCTGTACCCCTTAGCTGTCACCCTCCAATCTTCCCCCAATCCTAGGCACCTACTTTCTGTCTGTATGGATTTGCCTATTCTGCACATTGACTATAGAGGGAATCCTGTAACATGTGGTCTTTTGTGGTTGACCTCTTCCACTCAGCATATTTTCAAGGTTCAAAGTTCACCTCATTGTAGCATGTAACAGGACCACACGGGGAAGCACCAGGATCCCTCAGGAGGCAGAGGGAGGGGAAAACCTGGGCTTCCGTGGGGAGGAAGGGGTGAGGCAGGGTGGATGGGATCAGGGGCGGCCTGTGTGAATAACCTCCGCCCTGTTGTCTGTTGTCTGGCGCCTGGCCCTGGGCCGATTAACGATTAGGGCAGGCGGACAGTGGCCCTGAGTGTGGGAGCTCCATGCAGGAGGGGGCGGGCGGTGGGCTCTGGATTGGCTGGTTTGCACGGAGCTCTTGTGAGGCCTCACCATCTCTAGGAACTGGCCGCCCCGCAGCTGGAGGTGGGGGGGGAGGCCAGCCCTTCCCCTGGCACAGCCCCAGGTGTCAGGGCATCAAAAATATCAAATAAAAAGACATGATTTATATAGCTGGTCTGTGGCAGAGGTCCTGATTCATGTCTTGATCAAGCAGTTATTTCCACGGCTGTGTATGTCATAGACTTGATTGGTGGCTGTCTCTCTTTTTTTTTTTTTTTTAAGATTTTATTTATTTTTTAGACAGAGGGGAAGGGAGAAAGAGAGGGAAACATCAATGTGTGGCTGCCTCTCGCACGCCCCCTACTGGGGATCTGTCCCACAAACCCAGGCATGTGCCCTGACCAGGAGTCAAACCTGCAACGCTTTGGTTTGCAGGCCAGCACTCAGTCCAGTGAGCCACACTATCCTGGGTTGTCTCTCTCTTATTTTAAAAGTCTTAAGTAGCTTGAGTGGTGTGGTAGTTAGACTACTGCAGACAAAAAAGAATAATTTATCTGCATAGATCACATTGCCACCAAATGGACATCGTGAAAACTTTTTTGTGAGAAGTCTCCCATAAATGGGCTATCTCAGGTACTTTGGGGCGCTGTGTGAATAATGAATTTTAAAGAAAATCAAAGAATATCAGTGCTCTGTGGTGTGTGTGTGAGCAAATACGGGCATTCTAAAATATAATAACTTCTCATTTAACACTTAGTATAGTCAGTCCTCATTACTTGCGGATTCTGCACTCATGAATTCACGTACTTGCTAAAATGTGTTTGTAGTCCCTGAGGCAGCACTCAGAGGGCTTTCGCCGTCTTTGCGGACGTGCGGAGCGGAACGGCTGAGACATTGGGTCGCCCACTGTGCACGTTCCCGGTGAGGACGGGCCGTGGCAGTGCTTTGCCTCCTTGTGCAGTTCATGCTGCCAACCAGTGCCCTTTTTGCAGTGTATTTCATGCCAGTGTTTTCTCATTTTTGTGCTCTTGTTGGTGAGCTCACTGTTTAAAACGGCCCCGAGAGCAGGGCTGTCTAGTGTCCCTGAGCACAAGAAGGCTGCAGCGTGCCTTGCACAGAAACGCATGTGGCCGACGTGACTTGCAGTACTGAGGCCGTGAGTTCAGTGATAAGAGATTGACAATGTGTGTTAGATGAGGCGCATTTAACAGAAGCACACGTAACACAAGGTGGTGAATCAGCTGGTTGAGGAAAGCGTAGCTGGGAGCTGGCAGGACTGCGCCCTGTGTTCCCCCTGTGAGCGGAGGTTCCGTGTCCCCGCCCCAGGGTCCACTGCTTGGCAGAACGTCGCTGCTGTGAATGCTAAGAATCCACTGTAACTTCTTATTTTGAAATAGGTTAAGAGTCACAAGAAGTTGCAAAATCGTAGAGTCCTCATGTACCCATCGCCAAATGTCCCCCAGTAATGATACCTGATATAACCATAACCCATTGTCAAAACCAGGACATTGATACTGGTACAGTAGTAACTCAGGGACAGTCCCTGTTTAGATTTTGCCAGTTATTACATATACTCTTTTATGGGGGAAAGGTGAGTATATAGTTCTATGAAATTTTTTCTCATGTATATAGGTTTAAGTAACCAACACCAGAGTCAAGATGCAGAAGCATTCCACCACCCCAAAGAAACAATCATTTCTTTTTTTAAGTAGCGATAAAATACACATAAGTACAGTTCAGTGGTATTAGTACATTGTCGTACAACATCCCTACCATTCATCTCCAGAACTTTCTTATCTTCCCCAACTGAACCTCTGTCCCCATTAAACAGTAACTTCGCACTCCCAGCCCCTGGCTCCCACCGTCCACTTTCAGCCTCCGTGGATCTGAGTCCTTCTAGGGCAATGGTTTCCAACCTTTGTCATGTCCTGGCACACGTAAACGAATTACTAAAATGCAGCAATGCACCCGAAATTCTGTATTTTGCTGATCTGACCAAAAAAGGGGTATACGTTTTGATTCACTCACACCAGAGGGCTGTTGTTGTGTTGGCTGTTGTCATTTTTTTATTTGACAATCTAAGGGAAAAGAGGTCAGAGCCCCTGACTTACCAGTTTTCAAAAATCTTGCGGAACACCAGTTGAAAATCACTGCTCTAGGAACCTCCTATGAGTAGAATCCTACAACATCTGCCCTTTTGTGACAGGCTTATGCCACTGAGCATTAGTAATGTCCTCGAAGTTCATCTGTGTTGTAGCATGTGTTAGAGTGTCCTTTGTTTTTATGACTGAATAAAATTTCATGGAATAAAATGATTCCTTGGCCTGTATTGTGGGAGGCACTGTCCACCATTCTGTCCTGTGTTGCGGAAACAAGACGACGATCAGAATAAACAAGCACCGGTGACCCTTGAGCAGCACAGGGTTAGGCGCGCCAACCCTCCCAAGCCGGGGGTCCTTGGCCTTTTTCTCCTGTGGACTCTACCTGATTACAGCAGAGCCCACCCCGCTTCGGGCAAGACCTTGGGTCACAGGAGCAATGTACCAGTCATACTAGGACGCTGGATAAAGGATGCATGTCAGGATGTCTCCTGTTTGTCCGATAAGGTCACAGTAGCCTGGGAGGAGTGGGGGTAATGTGATGTAGAAATGGCAGGAAACAGCCTGCTCTGGGCTGTGAAGACCTCGGTTTCATGGTTTTCACCTTTGTAAATGGGAGTTGGTCTGCTCTAATAGTAATTGTTAGCCACTTAGGATCCCGATGTCGCAGTGGTGGGGGTCACCATCCAGACGGCACCCTTCCCTTGCGGGGCTGCGTTCAGGGTGAGTAGCTGGGGCGGTGTGCATCTGCGTGCACACAGCAGCACCGCGCTTAGTGGCGAAGCCTCTGTTGACGAGCGTTTTCGCTACTCCTCCGCCAGAAATGTTCTTATCATGGACACACACTCCCCTGCACACTTGCACCTCCCTAAATGTCCACCCAAATTAAAACTCGCTCAGCACGCTGGACTCTCGTTCCCCCAGTAAAGCTCCTGAAAGAAATACAGCTCCCCCTGGGGCCAGCCCTGTGCCCACCCCAAGGGGGCAGCACTTTCTTCAGTGTGCTGGGGGCCAGGAGTCAGGTCAGGCAGGCCGCCGGACACATTGCTCTAAATGCTGCCATTGTTTGGGAGCCAGGCGTTCATGTGCGGCTCTCGCCCTGAGACTAGACCGAGCATGCGCCGCCGGCGGGCTCGGCTGGCGGGAGGGGACCGGCCTGGTCAGGCAGCCAGGCTTTCCAAGTTGCGTCTTCCTGTCCATGGCAGAGGTGATCGCAGAGCACACTTACAAATAGCGCAGCTCTCGAATTGATGAGCAGATGACGGCAGACAACCCTCTGGATCCCATTTTCCATGTTGTTTTGATTCACAGTCATCATATGAAATAGGATCAGAGGCTACCATCCACTTTGGCGGTCAGATCCTGCTCAAGTTCTGAGAGACCCCACTAATACCACACCCTGTGGTCTCTGAGCTTCACCATGCGCATGCGTGTATGTGTGTCTGTGTGTGAGGGAGGGAGCGAGGGAGGGAGAGAGATGTCAGCGCAAGCCACACCAACTACAGAGTTCCGTATTTCATCATCTTAGCTTCTTTACAGTAAATAAAACCACTCTCTGCATTTGACTCCCTGCTTAGACGGAAGGGCTGTCAAGATTTTACCAAAGGAAAAAATAGGGTGCCATTTGTACCCTGAATGGTTGTAGTAGGGACCAATTTCTGGCCCCCCAGACCTGTTGCTTCAGCCAATACAGGAAGAGTAGACACAGTTTCACATTTCTAGAAGGACCCTGTATGCTGCGGAGGCATAGAACAGCACACTGCCAGCACCTGGGAGCCCCAGCCGTGAACCTGGGGAAAGCACATTCCAAGGTGGTGGCCGAGGCAGCACACTGAGCCACCCCGAACTGTCCTGTGGCTCCTTCCCTAGGAAACGGAGCGAGACTGTCTTTCTGGAAAATGAGCTACTGACCGCCAAGGTCCTGTCCATGCTGGGGCCAGTCAGAGCAGGGCTTCACCACGGCCACCTCCACTACCCTGCCCACTTTCTCAGTACCAACTCTGTCTTTGTCTCCGTCGCAGCGTCCCTGAAGGAGCACCCAAGGGCCACCCTCTCTTCTGATGGCAGCCCAGCCTTGTCCAGGAATGTCGGCATGACGGTGTCACCAAAGGGGGATCCACAGTCAGCACCCAGCCTAGCGGGAACAGGGACGAGACTCGGGTAAGCTGGGTCCTCTTTGCTGTGGGACACAGAGGAAGGGAGGGAGCTCGGGGTGTGGCAATGCACGGGGACACTGCAGGTGGCTCTCTGAAAGAAGACCCTCAGGTGTGTGCATCTGCTCGTGGACCCCCCACCAAGCAGTGAAGTTCCCATTAACCTTTGATTCAGACTCATTCTTTTACCTTTTTTAAAAACCATGCGATCTGGGTAGACTTGGCACTTTGCAGGCATTTTGCATTACGGTCTTAAAGGACCCTTGGCCAGGGTCCCTTTCTGTACTCAAGATGAGGCTAGCAGTCCCCCTGAGGTTGCTGTGGGGGTCACATCCCATCCATTTCTGCCCTGACCCAGTGTTTCTAGGGCTCCAGAGCGACTCCCTCGGGACTGCTTTCAGCAGCATCAGGGCGAAAGCCTAGTGCTGAAAAGTGTCATCGCGGAGACCCTTGTGGGCGCTGCTGAGGAAGGAGTGATGATCTTCTTCCTCTGAACAGCTTCTCCTCCAGCCTCCACTTAACTCTTGTTAGAAAGAACTTCGGGGTGGGGGGGCCAGAGGCCAGTGAAGGAAGCACACAGGTAACCCACACTTCGGCTGTGTCTGAGCGTTCGAGTCCGTTGTGATGGAGGGAGTCCTGACGTTGTGTTGACAGTCTTCTAATTCTCAAAAGGGATCTCATGACAAAGCTAATTAGGCTCATATTAAAATCCACAAAGTCCTCAGATAGTGCTTAAGTGGATTGATTGACAGTCTAATTTGCTTTAATAGACTGGAGTGTGCTTTTTTAATTTGATATTTTGAAATAATTGTTTTTATGATTTTTATTAAGACCAACCACAGGAGAGATGGATGAAGCCGACTCCATATTTTTGAAATCTAAGCAGGCCGCCGACGACTCCCTTTCACTTACTCCCTCGAGCACTGAGTCCGCTCTTGTAGAAGGTACGCCATCCCGATTCCGTCACTGGGGACACGAGGCCTCCATCCGCCCTTGGGATGACGGCTCGGGCGCCCTGAGCCAGCCAAGCTGAGGGCCCTGAACGATGGCCTCTTGCTCTTCCCCTAGATTCCTACACAGCCTCCCTGAGGAGCGAGATCGAATCGGACGCCCGCGAGTTTGAGGCCGAGTCCTGGAGCCTGTCCGTGGACCCCGTGTATGCAAAGGAACAAAAGAAGGAGGTGGTGAAGAGACAGGATGTGATTTATGGTGAGAAGGCCAACATCCCACACAGGCATTCCACTTTCTTCTTTTCTTTCTTTTTCTAATTTTCTCTTAATTTTTTTCTTCAAATATTTCCACCTGAGAGTCTGGGCAGCCCTGCTGACACCTCCTAAGAGTGTCACCCACTCCCTGCTCTCCCCCAGGACAGCTCTGCCTTGTGGGCCAGGGAAGAGGTGACCAGGGACGTCCTCAAGGACAAGGATGGCCGCGTGCCCAGGCCTGACTTATCCTTACCTCATTGGTGACCCTGACAGAGAACACAGGCCTGAGTGTGGCTGGGATTGGGGGGTTTGGGAGGCCTGTCCCTTTCTCCCCATGCGACTAGCACCAGCGTTGTGGTGGGTGCCCCTTCCCACTGGCTGTCAGAGAACCTGGCCCCGGGTGGCCCTGTCCTGAGACGGAGTGTTGCAGGTCACAGTGAAAATCCCAGTCCCTGGGCCAGGGGCTGTGCTGGGCGCCTCCCGTACATCCTCCAGGCCCTTCTCGGCAGGGTGACAAAGGCCCGAGGCAACCACACTGGGACCTGAGGCCTTTCTTTCCTCAAAGCTGTTCCTTGTTCTTATGATCCTCTCTTCGTGGGAATCATCCCCCAAAAAGGACAGTGTTATGTCACCTGAGAAGGAATTTTCCTGTCCTTCATTGGCATTCTGGGCGGCCGTCCTCGCACTTCTAGAAGCGTTCTCACTTTTTATCCCACATGGCAGGTCCGGCTCCGGGTCCCCGCGCTCCCCCCGGCGGTGTGAGTGGCACCTGCTTCCTTCCACATGTCACACTCTCAGCTCCCCGGCTGGGCCGACTGTTAGGGCAGGGTGTGCCTGTGTGGAAAGCCCTGGCGGGTGCTTCCCTCAGAGCCCCACGGCCAGGCCAGAGATCCTGCAGGGAGGGACGGGAGGACTAGGCTGGATGCCTCCATTTGGGCAGCCTGTTGCCACACTGTCTCCACTGCTGGGCAAACGCAGACCACTTCCCCTGGGCACCTGGGGCAGCACTATTGTCCTTGGTTTTGTCTCTAACAGCTTTAAGGCCTTGATTTGAATGACAAAAACTCCAGCATAAGACCTGATCTTTCTTTGCCTTTTACGATGAATTAAAATCTCACTTGAGCCCTGCTTCTACATCAGTCATAGCCTGGGCCTGGCCACTGGCGTGCACAGGTGTGTGAGTGTGACACGCCAAGGGGTGGTGTTTTCACAAACACTATTCTGGCCTAAAACAGCTTTGAAATGCCTTTGTTTGAGGCTGGGCATGAAACCCTCCTGTGAATTTGAGGCCCCCGTGCACATCCAGGGCCCTCCCTCTCCCGATGTCACTCCACCCCTTGCCGCTCCCTTAAGCCGGGACCCCCGCGGCGCTGGCATGGGAAGGCCTGGCCTCTGAGCAGTAACGCCACCGCGACAAGGACTTCGGTGGAGAACCTAGAAGCCAGCCTGGTGCATGGTGGGCGGGCAGAACACACAAGTGCCCCTGTGGGACACAGGAGGAGCAAAGCCAGGGCATACTCCCTGCTGTGGGTGAGTGCTGTGGTCCCTGCTCCCGCAGAGCTGATACAGACAGAAGTGCACCACGTGCGGACGCTCAAGATCATGCTGAAGGTCTACTCCAGGGCCCTGCAGGAGGAGCTGCAGTTCAGCAGCAAGGCCATCGGACGCCTCTTCCCTTGTGCAGACGACCTGCTTGAGATACACAGCCAGTTCCTCTCTCGGCTGAAGGCACGCCGCCAGGAGTCCCTGGAAGAGGGCAGCGACCGCAATTACATCGTCCAGAAAATCGGTGACCTCCTGGTGCAGCAGGTGGGCATGGCCAGGCTAAGCCCCTGCCCTGCACTGTTCCTTCCAATAACAAAAACATGGCTCCAGGCAATATTGTAATTTATAAGAAATACACATTTGTGTGTTTCACAGATGTACAGATGGCCTTCATCTGCACTTCCTGGCTCATGGCTCCCACAACCCTTGGGATTCCCTAAATGAGGAGAACATAAAAGTGTCTTTGGTTACTTGAACGAGGTGACTGTTAGAGAGAACCTAAGGATGGGAGCTGATTGCCCAGGGACCCAGCCATGTGATTAGAGAGTTGGAACTTTTAGTCCCACCCCCCAACCTTGGGTGGGAAGAGGGGCTGGAGGGTGAATCAGTTGATAGTAGCCAATGAGTTAGTCAACAATGCCTGTGTAGTAAAGCCCCCATTAAACTCAGTAGGATGTGGCGAGCGTATGGAGGTTCACAGAGAGGGGCACCTGGGCGGGGCAGGGGGGCTCAGGGCCCCTCCCCATACAGGCCCCGTGCATCTCTTCCAAACCAGTGACCTAGGGAGTGACCTGTCTCTCTGAGAGCTCTGTGAGCCGCTCTAGCAAATTCATTGAACCCAAGAAGGGGATGGTGGGGACCTCTTATGTATGTAACTCATCAGTCAGGAGCTCAGGTGACAGCTGGTATCTCGGAACGGGGGGCACTTTTGTGGGACTCAGTCCTTAACCTGCAGAATCTGATGCTGTCTCCAGGTAGATAGTGTCAGACCCTGCTGTTGTCTGATGATCACTGGTATGCAAGGGACCACCCCCACACTAGACTGAGTCCAGCAGCCCTTTCCCCCCGTGGGTTGAGAGCCTGCCTCTCCAGAGGACAGTGGTCCTGGGCCCTTTGGGCGGCGCGTGGAGCTAGTGGTCTAACAACACAGACGCCTACATAGCAACACACTTGTGCAAACACCAGCCAGCGTTGCAGTCTGGGCTTCTCTTTGGTTAGTTGGCTGGACTTTATTTTTAGTCTTGGTGGCTGTATTTGTGGCTATTAAAAGCCTATCTATGAACCAAAGCCATTCATGGGAGGGGTGTTGACCCTGAGTTGACTTCTGGCTCAACCTCTGAGCCTTGGCCAAGATTGACAGAGGACCCTGTAACCCCTCGTCTGACCCCCGAGTGCTCCACGATTTCTGAGTCAGCTCATTAGAATTAATTAGAATACCCCTTTTGCTTTTCAATTTTTCTAACCTTCTTTGGCTCAAATTTATTTTTCCTCCTCAGATGTCAGGAAGTTGTCACAGCACCTGTGATGGCATAAGGCCTATTAGCAGAAAGTTTTGTCACTTTACCTTTACTGCCCCTTGCCGTGAGGTGCCCGCAGTGCCGCGTTTCTCTGTGTGAGTGTGGGTCAGCGAAGGGAGTGCAATGACAGGCGAGCCCAGGGCTCGTGTCAGAGGCAGGCAGGCTGGAGGGAGACTCTCCCTGGAGGCCTCCGTGCTTTACTTTGGTAACATCTCCGCGGTCTTCCTACAGTTTTCAGGTGAAAATGGAGAGAGAATGAAAGAGAAGTATGGTGTCTTTTGTAGTGGCCACAATGAAGCGGTCAGTCATTACAAGTTGCTGCTGCAGCAAAACAAGAAATTTCAAAACTTGATCAAGGTAAAAAAAATTTTTTTGTTTAGCCAAAAACTCATCTTTTTTGCCATAGGTTTTTTTCCGCCACAGAACTGTTTGGAGATCTTGAGATTAAGGAACTTATTATAAACTGATGATTTTCAAGTTTTCATTTCATTCTTAACCACAAACTCAGAACGTACCAGTGGACTCTCCTAGAGAACCCCGAGGTGCACAGCAGAGCTCAAGCTTTGCTCCTCAGCCCACCGGGGCGGCCCCCGAGAGGCCCTGGCGCGGAACCCGCCGCCGACACTGGGATGCTGAGATGACACAAATGTTGTTTCAAGGGGCCACCCTTCCCTGAGAACTGCCCCCTCCAGAGCCACCCACTGTGCCTTGGGACACTCCAGCTGGTGCCAGGCATGCCTCACTCTAAACCTTTGTCCCCTCTGTTGACCCCATTTGTTCCCCCATAGCCTAGGGAATGACCCACACACATCTTTTGCTTAACAGTGTGTGGATGCTCAAAGCTCAGAACAAAAAACACTTCGCCCAGCCCAAGTCAGCCAAGTCGGGCAAGGCCCCACCTCCTGTGTTCTAGAAAGTGCACCTGGTTGAGGCTACTGGACTCTGTCACACAGGTCTACAGCAGCCCTGCCACCTGGTCCCAGAGGGCTCCGCCCCCTGCCACTGAGGACTTCATTCTGAAGTAATGCTCTGTACCCAGTGGTCTGCGGCTCAGCATAATGCGCTCTTCATTTCACTCCGTTATCATAGCGAATAGATATGAAAGGGAGAGGGGCACTTCTGGGCCTAAATTCATCTGTGCTGAGCCTGGCAGACCCCCGACATCCTGGGCCAGAAACACCCAGAGGTGGGAAGGTTCTGGTGAGAGAGAGGGATGCCGAGCAGAGTACCGCCCCGGAACCGCACGCTGCCGAGCCCCCCTCCCGCCCCCCGCCCCAGCGGCTCTCCTGGTTCCCTCTCGGTGCCAGCCTTTCTGAGATACAGACGAGCAGCGGCGGCAGCAGGAAGGCCAGTGGGTGGGCTCTGGAGAGCCGCTCTCGGCTCCCACCAAAGACAGCCGCAGAAGAGCACCTCTTGGGTTCTTAGCCAGAGCTGTGCATGGGATGCCATCTGGTTCAGAAGGCACAGGCCCAGGCTAGTTCTAGAAGGTTCCAATGGCCATAAGTCAGGGTTCTTACACACACGGGTACAGTGTGCATCATACAGCGCTCCAGGTGGTTCCCATAACCACCCCCGGGGCTGGTTCTGGCTGCTTCTCTACGGGTCTCTCGGGGGCCTCTGGACAACAAAGCAAGGACGCCTTTGCTGCCTTTATGTATATGGCAGGCAATCCCTGCTTTTAGATTTCTGGCAAAGAAAAGACCCCCTGTCAGCCAAAAGAGGAAGGAGCCCCCAGCCTTGGTATCTGTCTGAGTTACATTCTTTGACTGGGCAGGAGGTAAAATGTCAGTATGTTGTGGCTTTGTTTTCATTCTCCTAGAAAATCGGCAACTTTTCCATCGTGAGGCGACTCGGTGTGCAGGAGTGCATCCTCCTGGTCACTCAGCGCCTGACCAAGTACCCCGTGCTGGTGGAGCGCGTGCTGCAGAACTCCGCAGGTGCGGCCGCCACCTCGCCGCCTTGCCTGTTGGTGCTCGGGGGTGGTCTCCGTCTCCCTGCCCCCTTTTAGCAGTGGATTGAATAAGTGCCCCTCTGGGATTTGTCCCTGGTTCTCTGGATTCCACTGAGCTCAGCGATCATGAACTGAGCTGCCACCACGCAGAACCCACTGTGTTAGGTGCTAGGATTTCCAAAAAGAAAAAAAGGCGGGCACCAAGTCTCATTTGCCTGCCATTACCCCCGGTCCCACCCTGACCCAGGCATCTGGGAATGGATGCATGATGGAGAAAATCCCCTTTTGAAGGCCACTCCTGAGTGACCCAGATAGGCACAGAGTCCATGACCAGGGCCCCGAGTCATGGAGGCCCCACAACATGGAGAGCAGAGGAGAGAAGGGCACGCAGCCCAGCTAGGAGTTCTCAGAGGCCACGCCTTCCCCATCTCTGGGGGTTTGGGCCACGGGAGGATGAGCAAGGTCCCCCTCCGCAAGAGCCACGTCCCCAGCGCCGGGTACGGCAGGAGGAGGAGGGAGCGTCAGGAAGAGCGGGAGGGCACAGAGCAGTCTGTTTACCAGGAGTGGCCGGCGGAACACACAGGCCGCCCTTATTACCTGAATTGCACCTTTGCATCTGCACTCAGCAGCAGCTCTGTCTTGTGAAAAACCAAACGCTAGGCTGTTGCATTTATTTTGGAGGAGCATTTATGTCTTGGGAAATTCGAGTTGGAAGGTGATTCCTGAGGGTCCTCTGAGCAGTGGCCACAGGGGAGGTGCCTCACAGACCCTGTAGCGTGTACCCCTCTGTCGTGTTCGTGAATGCAGACAAAGAAAGCACTAACTCTGCTGTGTGTGGCAGCTGGCGCCAAGGACTACGAAGACCTGACCCAGGCCCTGAACCTCATCAAAGACATCATCTCACAAGTGGACTCCAAGGTCAGCGAGTGTGAGAAAGGCCAGCGCCTCAGAGAGATCGCAGGGAGGATGGACCTGAAGTCCTCCAGCAAGCTCAAGAACGGGCTGACTTTCCGCAAGGAGGACATGCTGCAGCGGCAGCTCCACCTGGAGGGCATGCTGTGCTGGAAGACCACGTCAGGGCGCTTGAAAGGTGAAGTCCTGCCCCCCGCCGCCACCTGGGAGTGGGGGTGCCCCCTGGATCAGTGAGCACTGTTTTGGTTGTTGGGGGGGCCAGCCAGCGCAGGCCACCGCAACCTGGCTGCTCCAGGGCTGAAGGGAGGTTGCGCGCAGAGTCAGGGCGAGCGTGGCAGCCAGGGGTACGATAAGGACGAGATGGCTGCACCAGCGCCCTCTCCTCCAGCCTTTGAGATGGTGTGATGCGCACTGGGAATGGGGGCCCACTGGCGTCTGAGCAGATACCCAAAGCTTCGTGAGGCTCCAGGGCTCCTTCCAAACAAGCTATGATGGATGTGCCTGCAGCGGGCCCAACCCCTGAAGGGCCTGGTATGGGGAGGAAATGCTGCCCAGACCGCCGACCTCAGGGTGCCCAGCATCCCAGTCACTGCTCAGGGTGTGCTCTGAGCCCAGCTTTCAAAATCCGTGGTGCATGCCAGCCCAGAGAGGGCTCAGGCTCGCTCTTGTGTTCCCTGTCTACCTCACGGGCCTCGGGAGACATCTGGACCTGTCCACAGGCATCAGTGTCTGCGAAGATCTTAAAGGGAGTGACGGAATCTTCAGGTGGTCAACTGACAGAACGTGCGTGTTCCTATTCTGCGTGCTGTGCACCCAGTAGATAAGTGTGGCGCCAGACCCCAAGGTGGCGGCAGAAGGTGGCGGCCTCACGGGGCTCCAGGCAGCAGGCAAAGGGAGAGAAACTCGTAAACAGAAAAATAGCGAAAAATGCATAAATGCTCTCGAGGAAGCCAGCAGGCTGCAGCTGAAGAGGATTCCGAGAGGGGACCCAGATCGAGGCGGAGTGTCTGAGGGCGCTCGCTGAGAAGGCAGCGTTCACCATTGTGTCGGTGCTTGTGTTGGAAGTGCACTCAGGATTGGCACCCAAGTCAAAAGCTCAGCTGTGAGATGTACCTACAGGGACAAGACACCCATTCTGCCGCCACCTGGAAGGAAGCCCAGGGGCACGAGGGGACGAGAGCGCATTGCTGTGGTAGGGGCAGAGTGTGAGCATTCAGCAGCTCAGGCCCCAGGTGACCTGGGGGCAGGTGGGACAGGGGGTGGTAGGGAGATGAGTTCACATTTGAGAAATCGTAGCAGGAGAGCCTCACAGAGCAGCCCTGGGGAATACTGTTAGGGCAGGCCATCTGGGCGTGGGGCCCGCGGTGCAGCGGGAGAGATGTTGGAACCCAGGGAGGTGGTGGGATGGCAGGAGGCAGGCAGGAAACCCTTAGGCTCAGGCAGAAGCATCACGGCTCCAGACTGAGAGTGAACCGGGTTCCTTCCCACGGCACCAAAGGCCACCTGGGCTTTTATGTCTCCCCAGCTGCTCGGCAGGACCCACGTGGCCATATCACCCCTTACATTTCCTCCTGTCCTCTCTCCTTAGAGGTCCTTGCCGTCCTCTTGACAGATGTGCTGTTGCTGCTACAAGAAAAGGATCAGAAATATGTCTTTGCTTCTGTGGTATGTGTCCCTCTCTTACATGAAGAGCTGCTTCAGAGCTGACTGTGCAGAGGCACTGGGTGGAGGGGTAGCAGCGGCTGCGTCTACGACAAGACGGAGCCGCCCAGAGCGCGGGGGCTAGAGAAGCACATCTGCCAGTCACCTGTGGTCCCGCGTCCTCCCTGGGGCCTGAAGTTTCCGGCAAGGCAGGGGAAGGGTTCTCTGAGAGCAGGGTCCTGTCTAGTCGGCCTTACCAGGCCTCAAGGACTCACGCGAACGTCCGCTGTAGTTTCTGCCTCCCTGCATTGCTGTGGCGCTCTCTGTCACAGCACTCAGACCCTCGAATCCCCAGTGCCTTTGCCAGAGAAGCACCCCATTCGCAGGGATGTACTGGCTCATCACTGAGGACAGGAGCTCGGGCAGCCACAACCCTTTGTGTTGTGACCGTGTTGATCCCACAGCGCGCTGGCCCCAGAAGGCTTTTGTCGTGGGAGCCAAGCCTGCCCTGAGCTCCACGCGCGCCAGTGAGCTTGACGTCAGGCTGGGATACCAGTCACCCCCGCCCTGGCCCGTGTCCACTGAAGACGTGGCTTCCTCCCCTGCTCACGTAGGTGACACGCAGGTCCTTCGGTGTCTAACAGTGTAGGCCGTGCTGCGGGGCGGGGGTGGGGGGTGCCAGGCGTGCCCCCCCGCAGCTGAGGGGCTTGGAGGACTGGTTTGCCTTCCGGCCCGCCTGACGAGGGAGGCGCCCTGTGACTGAACTGTGCGATCACGCGCTTTCTCCCCGGATCGAGAAGAGCCTCTCCACAGTCAGGGCGCAGGCCTGGGTTGCAGGCCAGGTCCCCAGCCAGAGGCGCACAAGAGGCAACTACCCGTTGAAGTTTCTCTCCCTCTCTTTCTCCTTTACCCTCTCTCTAAAAATAAATAAATATATAATCTTTGCTTTTTTTTTTTTAAGCCTCTCAGGAGGTTTCCTAGGACCACAGATGGTGTCAGGCTCTGTGCCAAACCACCGCCTGGCCTTGACTCCAGCACCCTGTGTGCTCTGCGCACGCTCGCGAGGGCACAGAGACACAAGGCCATGCCCTTGCTCCCCGTGTCTGCGTGTGGCTGCTCTCTGTCCCTGTCTGTCCTGGTCTCCTCCTCTGAGAGGGGCATCAGCCGAATGGGATTGGGGCCCGCCCTGATGACCTCATTTTAACTCATTCACCTCTGTAAAGGCCCCTGTCTCCACATGCAGTCACATTCTGAGGGCTGGGGGTGACGGCTTCACCTATGGGTTTGAGGAGACACCATTCAGCCCATAACGACCACTTAAAAACATGTATTTCACTGGTCCCTCGGAGCATTACATCTTGTGGGACACACACACTAGACATGCTGGTGAGCTCTGGGTGTTCTGGGCACAGGATCAGGAAGATTTATTTGTTGTTACATGCTCTCTACTCTTGAGTTTCATACTCTGCACATGCGTTACTGATTATAAAACATTTCTTTAAGCACATTAAACAGACACATCGACAGGTCCTGGCCAGGTTGCTCAGCCGGTTAGAGTCATCCCACTACACCAAGGTTGTAGGTTTGAGGCCAGTCATGGTACATACAAGAGTAACCAGTGACTACATCAATAAGTGGGAAAACAAATCTATGTCTCTCTGTCTCTCTCTCCCTCTTCCCTCCCACCTTGTTCTCTATAAATCAATGAATTTAAAAATTAAAAGAAACACACATTAAACAATACAAGGATATCACTGCAATAGTGTCTTTTTCCCCCAGTGGTAAAGTATTTCTGAGTTGTCTTGTTTGAAAAAAAAGTGGGGCACCCTGCGACAGGGTAAAAAGGTGACCATCCCCACCGTGTTCCGCCCACGCAGGACTCAAAGCGCCCTGTCATCTCGTTACAAAAGCTCATCGTGAGGGAAGTAGCCAATGAGGAAAAAGCCATGTTTCTGATCAGCGCCTCTCTGCAAGGGCCGGAGATGTACGAGATCCACACCGGCTCCAAGGAGGAGAGGAACTCCTGGATGGCCCAGATCCGGCGGGCCGTGGAGAGGTGAGCGGGCCCGCGTGCGCCCTCTGCTGGCCGTGTTCCCCCTTGGCTGAGACGCTCAGCAGATTGGCTGTGACCTTGATCTGCCCAAGAAAACACCAGAAATCACAGGCAGACAGGAGTCTCCATTGCTTTTCCTCTCCCTCTTTCCACCTTGGTGATTTGTCCATCCTTTATGCAAAAGGGGCAGATGGCACCATTTCAGCCCCCTAGAACAATGGCTCAACCTGTCAGCTGCTAAAAAGGCCCCGATGTCTCTGGCCAGAGGACACGGGTTCAGACAGGTCTATAGTAGTGTATTGGTGGGACACTCCACCTGACGCACAGGCTGTCCCTACCCCAACGATCCCCCTCTGACCCACCTGCCACCCCCATCAGGGACCAGACCTGTTGGAGCAGGTCATGGTGTTCTGTCCTTCCTCCTCGGGCCAGGGGACCCCTCAGGACCCCAGCCCTGGGGCTTGGAATGATGCTGCCTCTCTCTGTGCCTGGAAGCTTCCTAAAGTCTTAGCCTTCTCGGAGTTCCCTCCATCCGCAGCCTCAGCTCTGCTAGGCTTGCAGCCGCCTGTACTAGGCAGGTTCCCAGGAAGCGAGCTGTCCCCAGCCCTCTCTGCCAGGTGGTAGCCAGGAATGTAAAGCCTGTGGCCGTTGCAGCCCAACACTGAAACCAGATAAATGCTAGTGGCTGTGTCCCTTCCCTGCCCTTGTCCTCCTGCACCGTTAGCAAGTCTATCACAGAGGGGGACAGACACCCTTCAGCTGCCAGTTCTGCAGATAAACCTCTCAGCGCCCATTTCAGAGGCTAGTCAGCCTGTGAGGCATTGTCACCTACCTGTCCCCCCCCGCCCCCCCCCACAGCTGTCCAGATGAGGAGGAGGGGCCCTTCAGCGAGGCCGAAGAGGAAAGGAAGGTGGTCGAGGCCCGCGCCACGAGGCTGAGGGACTTCCAAGGTAGGAGCGGGTCAGTCTGGACCTCCGTGCCCGCGGCTGCACGGTGGCAGCATCACGCTGTCGAGCGTCCCTTAGGCAGCAGGCCCCAGGCCCACCAGTGGCGCTTCTGTTCTGTCCCGTTGAGATGGGCCACAGAGCGAGGCGCCGTGCAGGCGGCCAGGAGCCTTGCTGAGGGTGCCCGTGACCCACAGCTCTGCGGGCACTGCAGTGGCTCTTTGCCGTGAGGCGCGGTGGTGTCTTCCGGTGGTGGGGGCGGGGGGGGCACAACAGCACTCGGGGTCGCCAAGCTGCTTCCCGGCACAATTGCTCTGCCACGCACAGGGCCCCCTCCCTCGGTCCTCCTTCAGGGAAGAGCCCCTGTGAGTGTCCCAGGTCACGTACCCAGGGGCCGCACAGCCCCCGCAGCCAGCCAGGCCCACACCAGCCCTGGCTGTGCAGCCGGAGCCCGGGCACCCTCCTCCATGTGTTAATGTTTCGGCTGCTTTATTGAAACGTAGTTCTCACACCATGCAGTTCAGCCATTTAAAGTATCCGCATGCAGTGGCTTTTATCACCGTCCGCACAGTCAAGCGTGGACCATTGTACCGCCCCAACCAGACAGCCCCGCCCTGACAGCAGTTACTCCCTGTTCCTTCCTCCCCCGCCCCCCGGGGCAACTTCCAGTCGACTGTCTCTATGAAATTGGCTGTTCTAGGGACCTTGTATAAATGGAGTTATGAAACAGAACATTCTTTTGCATCTTGCTTATTTCACTTAGTATATGTTCAGGGTCCATCCACATTGTAGCAGGTGTCAGAATTTTCTTCCTTTTTGTGACTGAGTGATACTCCGTTGTGTGAATGTAACACATTATGCTTATTCATTCTCCTGGTTTCAATAGATTGCTGTGAGATTTCAGCGAGATCATTGCCCAGAATAATTCCTGCAACTCTGGTCTCAATCCGCTTTCCTCTCTCTCACTATGTTTTAAGTTAGGTAACATTGAGTCCTGGCATAAGTTGGTTGGGCATCAGGCCACAAAATGAAAGGTCACCAGTTTGACTTCTGATCAGAACACAGGCCTGGGTTGTGTGTCCAGTCCCCAGTCAGGGCCCGTACGAGACACAACCGGTCAGTGTTTCGCTCCCATATCAATGTTTCTCTCTCTGTCTTCCTCCTCCCCTTCCCCTCTCTCTAAAAATAAATAAATAAAATCTTTATAAATTAGGTAACATTTAAGCAATAAGTACAAAAAATTGCATAGTATATATTTTACTTCTCTTTGTGGGGAGGTGCACATTTAAAGTATTAATAAAAATGTTCAAAAGAAAGGGGAGGACATCCCATTGGACCCTGGAAGTATAATCCTAACATAATATTCATTTTATCTCATTCTAACTCATCATGTCTTCTGGGTGGTAATAAACTATAGGCCCTGCCTATAGAGTCATACAATAATGGTGCCATAGAGTCATACAATAATGTCTCTTCATCACTCATTCCCAACAAGATTCTTAGTGAATTAGGAATACAAAGATATTTTCTTTACTGCGATAGCCTTTACCATCTTGGATCAAAAGCTGAATTCACCCTTATCTTTGGAACATCAGGGACATTCCCATCCAAGCCAGGAGCCAGGCAGGGCCATCCACTCTCCATTACCTTGGAAGTCCCAGCAGGGTCAAAATGGGAAGGGGCAGAAGCAAGATATGATTGGAAGAGAGGCAATGGAGTTCTTCTTTGTTTTTGTTTTTTTGTATGACATGATTATCTACCTACAAAATCCAATAGAATCAACTAGGAAAGATAACACAGTCATTGATCTGAACATGATATAGCTATACTGGCAATCACCAGTGTGGATGTCTAATTAAGTAGCAGTCAGAGCAGCAAAAAAAGTATAAAACAAGGAGACTTGAAAGGAGTTTGACCTAAATGCCTGAAGGAGGACTTTCAAGATTAGAAACCGAAGCCTTACAGGACTCTCGGTTTGTCCCAGACAAACAACTGTCCTGATATGGTCTCCCCATACTCCACTATGTTTGATAGGTACAGTTGTAGGAAGCAGTCAGGGGCAGAGCCAGGCCCTCACGCCCCAGGAAGGTTGGATGAGGGGAGTGGCCCACCTGGGCCAAAGCGGGTCAGCAGGGGTCCCCGGAGGCCAGGTCCACTCTGCGAGGCCCCCAGCACCAACATCCTGAGCTCCCAGCATCCTGAGGAGTGATCCCGGAGAGGCTGAGTGCCTCCTCCACATGGCTTTGCAGAGCGACTGAGCCTGAAAGACCAGCAGATCGCACAGAGCCTCCGAGAGAAGCAGCAGATCTACCTGGAGATGGCGGAGATGAGTGGGTTGGAAGACTGGGCTCAGTCACGCCTCCTCTTCCGAGGAGGGGACCCTTCAGAGAACCTGCAGGGAGAGCTGATCCTCAAGTCAGCTGTGACTGAGAGTGAGTAGCCATGCCCCGGGTCCTCACAGAGCACTGCCTGCCGCCTGAGCGCCATCTTTTCTGGGCAGCCTCCTTGAGGGACCCCAGTCCGGGCACATGGCCCAGTGTGGTCAGCATGCCACCCTGTCCAGAGCGCGCTTCCTCCTAGCTGGGCAGGCTGTGCATCCGCAACAGCATTAGCTGCCACCAGTGCCTGTTAGAGCCAGAGGGTCATTAGACAGCCCATCACGAGCCCCCGGCTGCAGACTTACACCCCTTTCTCACGCAGTAGACGCGCCCCTCCGTCACATGCAAGGTGAGGCACTGGGCCCCAGGGGCTTGAAGTCGCTGGAGACGAGTCCCCCACATTCAAGAGGCTCCTCTTCTTTCTGAGTAGTGGGTCGCATTTGGTGGGTGGTTTCCGGGAGCCCGTGGACCAAGCAGCCACGGGACAGCTCAGGCCCAGAGGTGGGTGGCCCGCCCCTTGCACCCGGCCCAGGCCTGCTCCGTGGAGTCGTCAGGGCCCAGCCAGAGCCCTGGGCAGCTGCTGACCAGGACACCTGTCAGGCCAGGCCGCCAGTGCTCATTCACTCTGGAAGGCAGCCTCCGCCCCTCTTTCAACAGCAAATGAGATAGGCACAGCCCCTGACCTTCAGAGTGAAGAGAACAGGGCGGGGGGTCCCGTGTGGACCCACCCCACTAAGTCTCACTTCCCTGGGCATAGCAGTGTTCTTCCTCCCACGTCTTCAGTGGCTATTGTCCTCAGCCACCTGTCCTGTGCCTCGGCCTGGAGTGCTCTTCCCACCTCCCCCTCCCTGGCCCCCCCAGCAAAACCTGGTGTGGCCAACCCTGTCCCCGTGGCCCCTGACATTCTGTAAGATTCATCACGCAAGCAGTGGCCACTCTTGAGTTTCCTCCTGGACCCAGCATACCCTCCAGCCCAGGACCCAGGATACCTGTCCACACGCTACCCCCGCGGGGAGCCTCTCTAGACACAGGCTGGCCTGGCCTGGTCAGAGCAGCTGTGCAGGCAGCGGGGCTGAAGCCTCTGCAGTCCTCTGGCCCTTTGCCCGCCCTGGTGCTCACAGTGCGGCTCTGCGGTGACTGGGTCGCTCCCGCCTCCTTCCGCAGTTGAGGACATCCAGAGCCTGATCTGCAGGCGGCTGGGCAGCCCCAACGGCCAGGCAGACAACGGGGGCGCCTGTGCAGGCCCACGCCAGAGGGTGGAGACCTTCGGAGGCTACAGCAGCACCAGCGGTCCTGGCAAGAGTGAGTGGCGCTTCCTCCTCGAGGGCTGGGGCTGCTGGGGCCTCGGGAAGGTCAGCATCAGCAAGAGGGTCTGTTCCCTCCCATGTTTCTCTGCACGGCATCCTTGGCAAAGCCAGGCATTTGCTGTTGGGCATCTCTCCTGCTGCTTCCTGTCAGCATCTATGAACACCCTGCGGTCCCAGTTCTGGGACCTTCCGAGAGCCGGCTGTGTTTTGACAGCACCCAGATCTGCTCCTGCCAATCTCTGTGCCACAAATGCTAGCATTCTAGCCCAGGGCCAGGGTCAGCTCTCGGCTCCATCTCCTTCCTGGACTGGGTGGGGATTCTGAGATCCCAGCAGAGGCCCCAGCATTCTCACGGGCCTGGCTTGGGGTTTTCAGATGGCAGCTCTAAGAAGAAGGTGGGTAGCGATGACCTGAGTCCCCGAGACTGGCAAGATGCTGCGAGCAGCCTGGACGCGAAGCCCGATGACCCCCCGGGGGCCTCTGAGGAAGCACGGCAGGTGGTATGCGACATCCTCACGGCGGTCCTGAGCTCGCTGCAGAGGCGGCCCAGGTGGTTTTCACTGTTCACGAGTGCGAACAGTCTGTGTTTCGGTCACCTGGTCTTTCGGTCTTACAGTGAGTAAGCGGCATGCCGTTCATTCTGTGGTGAATAGTGATAGCTCAGCTCAGGTTAACATGCAGGCAGGTGAGCCTGCATGTATCTTCAGGCCCTGGCCACGGGTGGCAGCCGGGGAGGGGACAAGCTCAGGACAGCAGCCGTGGCCTCTCCCGCAGGTGGGACTCCACAGGCACCTGCGGACGCCGCTTCCCCATCCGCGCCGGAGGCCCACCCTTGCCAAGGGTCAGAGTGAGAGCAGGGCCGGCCGCCTGTGGCCAGTGCCACAGCAGCCACCCTCCCACCTCCTCATTTCCAAACGTCCCCCGCCCCCGGGCACCCTCGTCAGGGATCAGTGGGCTTGGCCCACCTCCTCAGCAGCTCTGTGCTCTGACAGTGTGTTTCCACAGGTGGAGGCGCCGGGCACGGAGTCTGGCCCCCGTGTGCCCACTGTCCTGGAGTTGGAGGTAGGCGCCGGGCCTGTGCACCTCCATGGGGGCTGGTGCACACACCAGCAGGGCTTCGGGTCCAGAGCCAGTCTCGCTTTCCATCGCACCTTCTCTCTCCACAGCTTGTCCAGCGAATCCAGATGCTGTCCCAGCTGCTTCTCAGCCTCCAGGTACAGGGCATGTGGGCAGTGATACCTGTTTGAGGTTGGGGCTTGGGAGAGGATGTGCTCCTCATGGGCCCCCTCCCCGCAGGCGGTCATCGCCCAGCAGGACAGCTACATGGAGATGCAGAGGGCCACCCTCCAGGAGCGGGAGAAGCAGTTCCGGCTGCAGTCCACACGAGGGAACCTGCTGCTGGAGCAGGAGCGGCAGCGCAACTTCGAGAAGCAGCGAGAGGAGCTGGCGGGCGTGCAGAAGCTGCAGAGCCAGCTGCGGCTGGAGCAGCAGCGCTGGGAGCGCCAGCGGGAGCACCAGCGGCAGGAGCTGGACCTGGCCTCGGCCCGGCTGCAGCAGCGTGAGAGCGAGGCTGCACGGCTGCAGGAGCAGCTGACCCAGGAGCGTGCCGAGCTGGAGCAGCAGCGCCGGGCCTACCAGCACGACCTGGAACGGCTTCGTGAGGCTCAGCGCGCTGTGGAGCGCGAGCGTGAGCGCCTGGAGCTGCTGCGGAGGCTCAAGAAGCAGAACACAGTGCCTGGGGCACTGCCGCCTGAGATGCCCGCAGAGGTGAGCGGGGGAACGCAGCACGCAGCTGTGGGTGCCTTGTGAAAGCGTGTGTGCAAGCTGCTGGTGGAAGAGGAAATGTGTTAGTGTAACCAACAAGTATGCGTGCTGCGACTGCGAGCACACTCTGTGTTTTGGGCGGGGATAGGCAGTGAATGGCATCGCCATCAGGCCAGGCACAGGGCTCTGCTCCCAGGCCAGACCCTCCTAGCTGAGAGGCTGGGAGACCACGGGCCAAGGTCGGGGTGATGGGTGGTCTGGCAAGGCTCTGCCCCAGCCCCAGCCCGGCACAGTGGGAGGAGCTGAGGGGAGGACCACCCTGGGGGTCCCAGGGAGGGGCTTCCAGGAGGAACAAGTACTAGAATGTGTCTGTCACTCTCTCAGGTCCAGGCCCCAGGCCACCCCACCAGCTTCAACGGGGAAGGGCTGGAAGGGCCTGAGCGCCCCGAGGTGGCTCGGCGGGACAGCGCGCCGGCGGAGAGCCGGCTGGCCAAGAGCGACGTGCCCATCCAGCTGCTCAGCGCCACCAACCAGATCCAGAGACAGGCGGCGGTGCAGCAGCAGATCCCCACCAAGCTGGCTGCCTGCTCCAAGGGTGGCAAGGACAAGGGTGGCAAGAGCAGGGGCTCCCAGCGCAGCGAGAGCTCAGGTGAGCCCTGGGCTTGGGGGCAGGCGTGGGCTGGGCGGACTCCAGCTCAGCCTTCCAGGATGGGTGATCTCCGGGAGGTGGGTGCCCCGCCCTTCACCATGGCCTGGGAGGTTTGTGGCACCAAAACAGCTCCTTGTGTGTGAACCACCACTGAACCCCAGGGCCATTGCCCTGCGGAGATGCCGGGAGGAAGCCCGCGGGCACAGCTGGCAACATGGCTGAGCCCGCCAACACCCCACGTGAAGGTTTTTCATCTCAAGAAGCAAAATTGACATGACCGACCCCAGGTCCCTTTACCCCCTCAGTCCTCAGAGTAGAACACGGGCAAGGGCGTCTCTTGTCTGTTCAGAAAGAAGGGGCCTGGGCAGCCCCTGTGGAGGGGTCACCTGAGGCAAGACATCGTAGCGCCTTGCTCCCTTCGGGACACCACTGTGACCCATGCCAATGCTTCCCACCCAGCCCCGGCTCAGTGCCAGTCTGGGTGCCAGCGGCTCTACCTAGCGTCCTTCCAGAGGGGACCCTAGGCCCTCCCTCAGAGCCCTCTGCGAAGGCCGTGTTTCCCCCTGAAGCTCTGGCCTCCCCGGGGCGCTGGGAGCGTGCGCGGGCTGGCGGAGGCGCTCCCCGGGGCTCTCCGGAGGGCAGGGCGTGGGCGGCACGCGGGGTCCGGACTCGGCCTTAACCCAGGGGCTTTCTACTCCGTTTTTGTGTCGCTGCACTTGGGGCTCACCGTCTCGGTGGGGCCTGTCCGCAGGGCAGGTGCCGCAGGAAGTGCTCAGGAGCCGGCCAAGCTGCGGCGGGGGCGGGGCTGGGGGAGCCGCTGTGGGCCTGGGGCGAGCTGCGCACCCAAGGCAGGCCCTCTCCCTCCGCCAGCCTCACTGGACCCGAAGCAGCAGCCGCTCCTCAGCAAGCTCACGGGCAGGGACGAGGGCGCCTCCCGGAGCCGCCGCTCGCTGAGCCCTGTCCGCCTGGGAGGCCGCAGCGCCGCGCCCCGCCAAGGTGAGCCCAGCCCCCGGCGGTGGGCACCCCCGCCCCGCCCCCCCGCCCCCCGGCAGCGGCTGCTGACGCCCCGCGCCCTCTGTCTTCCAGACCTCTCCTGCCCGTCCCCCGGCCCGGCCCCAGCGGACCCGGGCCCTGAGCACTTCTCCCCGCCGGCTCCGCTGCCTCTCGCACCCGTCAGCAAGGAGGACGCCAGCAAGGAGGACGTCATCTTCTTCTAGGGGAGCATGGCTCGAGGTGCAGGGCCCTCCCTGTCCTGACCACAGGTGTCAGGCCTGGCCGGGGCCAGGCTCAGGTCAGGGGCCACCTGTCATCTGCAGGCTCTTCTGCAGGATTAGCAGCAGTGCCTGAGTAACTTTCCGAACCTCTTTTGTATGCATAAAGAAACATTTCTTAATTGAAGGGTGAACCAGAGCTGACCCAAAGAGCTGGTTTAAATCACAGCACCCCATTTTGGTAGAGATCAACTGCACACAGTTTTTCCAGGGCGGGGACAGGCAGGCTGGCAGTTCTGCATGGAGCTTGAAGAGAGGCCCAACGCAGCCTGAGGGGCAGGGCATGTCGGCCGTGCCTCCAGACAGTCTCAGAGAGGAGACCGGCGTGTGTTCAGGAGGGACCTCGAGGCTGGGGGTGGGAGGGCACATCAGGGGCTGCACGCCGCCTGGCAGGGGACCGTGGGCCCAGGGCAGAGGAGTGACTGGAAAGGATGGCTGATGGCACTCAAGACAAGTTCTGTTAGGGTCTGAAGCTCACCTGGAGAGGGTCTGGCTGTAACTCATTTTAATTTGGTGGTTTTTAAAACCTCCCATCAAGCATGGAGCTTCCCCCAAGCCCCTGGCCAAGCCGGTGTGGCTCCCCAGGCACTCAGCCTGCGGGGAGGCGAGCAGAGAGGTTCATGGGGGCAGCACACACCCAGAAGTCCCGGCCCCAGGCGAGGGGCTGGTGTCCCCAGGGCTGCCGAGGCAGGGGAGTGCCACAGAGGTCCCACGTGTCCTGGAGACCCCAAGTGGCCGGGTGGCCGCCTGCAGGCTGCCCACGCGCCCAGCGCGCCGTTGCAGCTGATGGTCTGCTCACCCCCGGAGGAGGGCCGGGGGCCCCCGTGCAGCCGCCCAGCTGTCGGCGTCGGGGTGGCGTCGCGCATCTGCGGGCGGTGATCAGGTCCGGCCCCCGTTCCGCCTCTGGCCAAACTCGGGCTTGGGTGCTCGTGCCAGGAAGGGAACGTTAGACTTCTTTGCACCCCCAGCTCCTCCACTGGGCCCAGAGCCTCCCAGGGGCAGGAGCCGCACGGGGCCAGGGTGACCCAGCCCACTGGACGAGGAACCGAAAGCAGCAGTTCGAACCAGTCCCGAGCACAGCCCCCCACCGGCCCCTTTGAGAGCCTCTGCCGCCACCACGGACTGTGCCTGCAGGCCCAGCGCCAGCTCGGAGCCGGAAGGGCCCTCCCCGCCCCCAAAAGGCACCAGAGCTCTCCTGTGCCATGGCTGTAATCAGTGTTTTTGTACAGAGACGAATCAGAGCACTTTAGAAATTCAACTTCCTGTCCTTTTGTGAAAAGAACATTCGTGGGCCTCTCAGACACCATGGTTCTCCGACAGCAAGTCCAAAGGATTCCCCGCAGGCCTGCGGTGGGGAAGGGCCCGTCCTGCCTTTCGGCCAAGGGGCACCCCCTGCGGGGCTGTGCAGCGGGGCGGGGCGGGGCGCGTCCTCTGGCCCGTCGCCCGCAGTCATCCCCGGGCCGGGTCCATCTTACTGGTGAAGGCCGTGGCCGGGCCAGCGTTCCACCCGGTGGGGTCTGCACAGGTCTCTGGTGGCGGTGCGCGCTCTGGGTGACTGATGGCATTTGCAGCATTTCCTCACGTGGGGTGTCTCAGAGCCACCTTAGAACTTAAGAGCTGATTCTAGCAATAAAGGTGTCTTAAGAAGAGCTGACAGGAGTGACAGTTCTTTGGGGTTTGTCGTAGGCCAGCCAGCCAGCGTGGGCACCGTACCCGCGGGGGCTCTGCGGGGGCTCCCCGGGGCACACCTCGCCAGGCAGGGCCCCTCAGAGCACCGGCCGCAGCAGGGCCTCGGCAGCCTGGGCGCCGTCCAGGGCCTGGGGGGCGCTTGAGTGCCGGGGCGGGGAGCCTCACCCCTCCTCAGCCACCTGTCACTGTTCCCGCCCTGAAGCCGGGGTGGCGGGTGCAGGCACTGGGGGCCCCGGGACGAGCGCCATGGCCCCAGCACCAGCCGTCCGCTGAGGGAGGGAGCCTGGGCCCTCGGCGGGCTCTGGCCCCGTCTGAGCAGTCCCTGGACAATGGTCACGCCTGGGCATTGAAAGTCAGAGGCAGAAGCCCCCAGAGAAGCAGCCCCCCAACCAAGGTCGACTTTCAGGGAATGTCACCAAGCCCTCCCACCCTGGGGGGTCCTCTCCTGTCTAGGCCTGTCCCTGAGGCCCTAGGATGTCAGTCCCCTGCTGCCTGAACCAGATTCGCTCCTAGGACCAGTCACACCCCACCTCCACCCCAAGGAGCTGTCTTGCTTTGCCCCAACCTGAGAGGCTTCGCGCCAGGGCGTGGCCACGCTGTGGGCAGGGCCCCCTCCACCAGGCTGCCAGCCCAGCCCGAGGGGTCACCTACCCAGGTGTCCACGTGGCCTCCCCACAGACGTGCCACACCCACACCCACCCACTCTCCGAGTCTCCAGGCAGGCAGGCAGGCAGGCGCTGCTCTGACCCCCACCCGGATCCATTCGTTCTCCGAGAGCCAGGACGTGCCAGAGCGCCCCATTTGCCACAGCTTAGAAGGGAAGACTGACCCAGCCTGGCCCCCCCAGGGCGGGGTTTCTCCTGCATGCCTTGCTTCCCCGGGGGGGCCTCCCCCCAGCTGTCCCCAGCCTCTTCTCCCCCTGCAACGGTCTGGTTGAGGTCACACGAGGCTTCAGGGACTGCACACACCAAGGTCTTGAGTCTTCCAGGCACTTGGGGGACAAAAGGTAAAGCCTGATTTCCTCTTCGCCAATGGGACCAAGAAGTGGAGGGTCCAGAGACAGACACATCAGCATCAGCAGGCAGCCCTGGCTGGTGGGGCCCAGTGGACTGAGCGCCAGCCTGTGAACCGGAAGGTCTTGGGTTCGATCCCCAGTCAGGGCACAGGCCTGGGCTGTGGGCCAGGTCCCCAGTGGGAGTGGGGGTGCAAGAGGCAACCGACCGATGTGTCTCTCACATACTGATGTTTCTCTCTCTCCCTCCCTCCCTTCCCCTCTCTCTAAAAATAAAATCTTTTAAAAATCAAATCAACAGGTAGACATGGCCTGGCCACCCTCTAGTGATGCCACACACACGTAGCATCTTGTGTCAGACTGAAAACACACGCCCATCCTGCCACCATCTCCATGAGGTGGAGACCCCACGTCTTCAGACACCAGCCCACACTGCCCGGCCCCAGCTGGGAACCCACCAAATGCTCAAGCTGGCCCCGAGCGGATGGTGGCCCTCATCCAAGCTGCAGCTGTGTCCACTGCTTCGGTCCCAATAAGCATCTCACGGTACCCAGGAGGGAGAGGGGTGACAGGGGCTGGGCCTGGCAGGCGGTGGCACCGGCACTGACAAGGGTGCCGGTGACTGCAGGGGAGTGGCCTGTCCTCGTGGGAGGAGGCCCCTTGGGGGCAGCGGGCTCTGCTGGCGGAGTCTGAGAGGGCCCGCCCGCTGGCAGCGGCGTGGCAGGTGAGGGCTCCCACTGCAGCTCTGTCCCACGGGAACCCACCCGCGCCCGCCGGCTGCCGCGCCGGGCTGGCCCCTGCACACCCTCCCTAGAATAAGGCAGGGGCGCCCCCAGCAGGGGGAGAGGGCGTGGGAGTGAGCAAACCTGCACAGATGGAGCCAGAAGCTGGTGAGTTTAGGAGGACGCCACCCCCCACCCCCGGCCTGGTACCGGCACCACGTGGTTAATTGATTCTCACTTCAGCTTTCCCAAGGCCTGCGGGGGCCGTGCCATCCTGGCCCCTGCTCATATTTATTCGAGTGCAGGATGCCAGGGACGGAAGCAAGGCTCTGCTGAGGACCACGGTGGCCTTTACCTCTGTGTGGGAGCCCCAGGGTCCTCGCTCTGGCCCTGAGAGACACTTCTCCCAGGAGGCCGGGTCTGGGTGGAAAGGATAGGCCCCCAGCACCTGAGGGACCTCACACTCGCTCCACATCCTGCCCAGCGGGGCTCCCCCAGGCCACTCCCTGTGTTTTCTGGGTGGCATGTCCCCACACCTGGCCTTGATTTGCTCAATTAGAGGCCCAGTGCCCAGCCCAGGTGATTTCTGCTCTGTGGGAAGGGGCCCTCCATCAAGGTCCTGGGCCATGTCAGGAGGTGGCAGTGTCGTCCCAGCCACTGGCCCGGACGGCCCGGTACACGCTGAGGAGAGAGGAGATGGTGCCCAGGAGGCCCACCAGCCACGGCGGGAAGCGGCCTGCCCACAGGATGCCTGGGGGCAGCCAGTGCACGGCGTTGGCCAGGTCAGCCACGTTGCCGAGGACAGTCAACAGCTCCGACCGCACCTGGGCCTCCATGGCCCTCCGCCGGCTCTGGGGCAGTTGGCTGTGGGATCAGAGAGGAGTCCTTCAGCAAGAGCCCAGAAGTGCCCATGCCCCCCACAACAGGCAGGGAATGAAGTGACCACAGACCCTGCCTGTGAGCCGGGAGGAGTCCCTGTCACCCCCTACAGGGAGCCCAGACCTGCATGGTAAGACTGGAACCAGGGGGTGGGGGTGGGGCTGGTTGCTGGGCAAGCCCCAGGCACAGCTCTCCCCCTGATGGACAGCGAACAGCGGCCATGGCCCTCTGCTGGGCGCAGGGCTAGGCGGGCTCGGCCCGCAGTCCAGGCTCCACTGCCTCCCACCGCCGGGCCCACCCGGGTTCCCCTTGTGTGAGAGCCCTGCCGTCCACTGCAAGCTACTGCAAGGTCTGCGATCCGCCACTCCTCAGCCTGGGCCGGCACAGGCGCGGGGCTCCCAACAGCTGGCAACGCAGAGCGGCCCCTCCCCAGGCCGGGAAACCCCCGGGCCTGTGGTGGGGGAGTCGGCCTTCCTCCCGAGTGAAATACCTGGTGACGGCTGCGGAGCACCTCAGCCGCTGCCTCAGCTTCAGGACCAGCCACAGGGACCTGCAATGCCAGAGACGGTGGGAGGGTGCCCCGCCTGAGGGGCCAGAGCAGCAGGCTGGGGGTGCGGGGGTCCGCCCTAGCAGTTCAGTCCCCAACACTGGCCCCAGAGGAGGCCCCACACCTGCCCCATCACTGCAGTCACAAGTTACCTGTGTCGGCGCCAAGCTCAGCAGTAAGTGGCCCCAGCCAACTTGTCTGAGGTGAGTGTGACGCACTTGCGGACTCCAAGGGCTGGCGTCTGCAGGCTAAGGAAGCAGCCGCAGGCAGGCAGCCTCTTTGCTCCCCTAGGCCGCCCTGCCTGGGCCCGCGCCCTGGGCTGCGGGCAGGAGGGTAAGTGAACGTGCAGAATCCTGCCCATTGGCGGGCTGACCGCAGCCGGACTTCCGGGCCGGGAGTCCAGGGCCTGGTCACACCTCCCCAGAACCATGGGCCCATCCAGTTAACATGTTCCCAGAGTGTATGGGACCCAAGGCCGCACCTGAAGCGAGGCTAAGAGGATCTGCATCAGAGCCACCTGGGGCACTAAGGCAAAACACCCAGTCTGGGTCCTGGGTCCACAGACCCGGGCCCCAGGCATCTGCATTCCAACTTTCCAGGGGACTGGTTGGCACCAGGGGCCCTGAGGACACCTAGCCACGCTGAGCGCACACACTCCGCAAGCCCACCCCCTTGCTGAAACCAGAACTACAGGCTCTAAAGAGACCTGGGATCGGAGGGCAGAGCACAGGGCATTTTCGGGGCTGTGAAGCTGCTCTCTGATACTGTCATGGTAGTATGTCATGTTACATTTGTCCAAACCCATGGAATGTGCGACAGTGACCCCTAATGTAGACCATGGACTTGGGGTGATGATGACATGTCAGCGCAGGCCCACTGATTGCGACACACGTCCTACTCTCATGCCATGTCAAGAGGGCCTGTCTGCGGTGGGGGAATGGGAACTCTCTCCTTTCAGCTCCATTTTGCTGTGAACCTACAACTGCTCTAAAAGTCTATTTTTTCAAGTGAATAGAACCAGCCGTAGCTGGTGTGGCTCAGTGGACTGATTGCCAGCCTGTGAACCAAAGGGTCACTGGTTTGATTCCCACTCAGGACACAGGCCTGGGTTATCGGCCAGGTCCCCAGTAGGGGGCACGTGAGAGGCGACCACACATGGATGTTTCCCTCTCCCTCCCTAAAAGTAAATAAATAAAATCTTCTAAAAAAAATAAAATGAATGGGATCACGACTGCCCCTAAAACAGGAATGGCAGGCAGGTCTCTTGGCACCAGAGGCCACAAGGACCCCGGGAGCTACAGCCTCGGGCGTCTCCAGTCCAGGCCCCAGTCAGAGTCCCCAAACACATCAGAAGGTCAACAGACACCGTCACCACAGAGGGAGCTCAAGTCCAGAAGAAGCCATCTGTGAAAGGAGACCAGAGCAAGCAAAGACGCGTCCGCACGGAGTGAGGCCAAAGGTTGGAAGTGCCCTCGGAGTATACACAGGCGGGGCCTCCAGCCTGTGGACGACCTCGATTTCCACTCTGGGTTTGTTCATTTTCCAGACTGTCTGTGAGGAGTGTACGTGTATAAAAGGACATCCGTAACGGGGGGGAACAAAGGCTGCGGAACGTCAGCATCTAGCTCAGGGACAAGCGACAGCAGACATGAGCACTGCCCACCTCCGCCCTACCCGCAAGGGCGGGGGTCACCCCCCACTTCAGAGACCCCAGAGGACTTCACTGCATGAAATTTTGCCGTGGAAGGCACTTCGCCCCTGTGCTTTCTGGGCAGGGGACTCTGAACCCGCTCAGCGAATTTGCAGAAAGGAACATGCTTGGGAGGAAACCATTAGCTTCAAAGTTCTAGGAACCTTCCAGTTTTGGGAAGCGCAGAGCCAGCCAGGAGCCTCCTGACCGTCTCATCTGGGGGTGTTTGCCGAGGACAATGCAGGCAGGACTCCAGAAGCCCGGGCACAGGCAGCCACGCCAGCCGCTTCCGTCCAGGCCGTAAAGGTGCTGCTGCTTCCTGGGCCCAGCGGGCAGTCACAGCCCCCAAGGATGCCCACATCTGAATCCCCAGGACCCGTGGGCATGTTCCCTTATGAAGCAAAGAGGACTGTGCAGATGAGACTGAGCTGAGGGTCTTGAGATGGGAGACTGCCAGGTGGGCGCAGCGTCATCACAAGGGTCCTCATGAGAGACAGGCAGGAGGGCGAGGGTCAGAGGAGGAGAGGCAACGACAGAAGCAGAGGCTGCAGTGATGTGCTTCGAAGACAGAGGAGAGGACCCCGGGCTAGGGACCATAGGAAGGAATTCCAGGAGCTGGAAAGGGCGGAACACATTCTCCCCCGAAGCCTCCAGAAGGACCGCAGCCCTGCCGGGGCCTTGATCTCAGCCCAGGGCAACCCAGGTGGGACTTTGGCCTCCAGAACTGCAAGATAATCAGTCTGTGTCATTCAAAGCGAAGTTGTGTGGCGACGTGAAAAGGACGCACACGGTCAGGCGGCCACACCGGAGGACAGGCAGGCGTGGTGAAGACCCGCACAGCCCCTGCCCGTCTGCCCCCCGACCCGAGGCCCCAGCGCTCCCTTCCGGCCTGCAGGGCGGCCGCAGGGCTCACCTGGCAATCCCCAGGAGCAGGGAGAGGCCCCAGAGGGCCGTGCTCAGCACCCACCACCGGGCAGAGTCCACAAGGAGGATCTTGGTGTCGGCGGCCCAGGCAATGTGCTCGCAGGGATAGTACAGCTGGTCGGCCAGGTTGCCCAGGACAGACACACAGCGGACCAAGATGTCTTCCTCCTACAGGACCAGGACAGAGAGCAGGATGGGCCTCGCGACAGACCCACCTACTACCCACATTAGGGACCCACGCCATGCCAAAAAAAAATGAACAAAAAAAAAAAACCCTTGAATACATGCTCCCGGATGATGATATGACTCGGGACACCCTGCCTCAGGGCCTTTCTGCCCTGTCACAGGCTTCCTGGCCCTGCCGGGGGTCTCTCGGCCAGGCCCCCGGCGCAGGGCCACGACAGAAGCAGGGCAGGTCCCCCTACAGAGACGCCCGATGAGGCAGGGCTGGGTGGCGTGGTGACCCTGGCTGTGTGACTTGGGTCACCTCCCCCAAACCCAAAGCAGCGTGGTCACCATCCTGGCAAAGAGGCAAGCTGAGCTGCTGCAGGTAGGGGCCACCCACGACACTGAGCAGCAGAAGCCCCAGCCTCCAGCCCTAAGGCAGGTGCTGCGAGGCTGCAGGAGCCTGGTCCCCTGGGCTGCACTGCCACCCGCCCCTCGCAGCCACGCCCCTCCAGGCCTTCAGGCAGGCGAGGCCCCTGCCCCTGCCCCTGCCCTGCCTGGGAGGAGATGCTCACTAGGGCAGGGGAGGCCAATCACAGAAACACAGGACCAACAAAAGGGGTTCTTGTTCTGCTCAAGGGACAGATGAAGTGCAGGCCCCTGACCCCTTGTCTGGGATTCAGGGTAGCCTTCAAAGAGGAGATGTTTGGGGTGCAGGTCCTCCAGGGATGCATGAAAAGTACACCCTCACCAAGCAAGATAGGAAATAGGTGTCAGAACAGGAGGAAGGTCCAGGGAAACACTCGGGACTTGGGATGGTCAGGCCACGGGCGCTGGGGCAAACAGGCGCATCGGAGGGCCCCGCAGCTCAGAGAGGGGCCCTGGGAGGGCGGGGGAATGTCCCCAGGGGCAAACAGGCGCATCGGAGGGCCCCGCAGCTCAGAGAGGGGCCCTGGGAGGGCGGGGGAATGTCCCCAGGGGCAAACAGGCGCATCAGAGGGCCCCGCAGCTCAGAGAGGGGCCCTGGGAGGGCGGGGGAATGTCCCCAGGGGCAAACAGGCGCATCTGAGTGCCCAGCAGCTCAGAGAGGGGCCCCCTGGGAGGGCGGGGGAATGTCCCCAGGGGGACAAACTTGCTCCCAGATAAGGAGCACAGAACTGCTGGCACTGCTGTGGAATGAGGCTGCACTGCTATATCAGCAAAATATTATAAATAACCTACATGTAAATCAACAGGGGTTGGTTAAATAACCCCCATCCAGCTACGTAACAGCACTACACGCACGGCCACAAGGAAGGAAGGACTCTTTTGGGGCTGATATGGCATGCTCTCCAAGTCACACTGCTAAGTGAAAAAAGCAAGTGGCCAAAGAGTGTCAGTTGCACAACTATTTACATTTTTTAAAAAAGCGTATGTGCCATGAGGGTACAGGGTTGCTCAGGAAGGAAACATGGGACGCTGACAACAGCGGCTGCCTCTGAGGAGGGACCGAGGGGCTGGGGGTCAGGAAAATAACCTTAACTATATAGTCCTTAGGTATGTGTGAATGTATTAGCTTTTTTTTTTTTTTTTTTTTTTTTTAGTTTTTTTATTTATTTACTTTTAGAGAGGGATAAAGAGAGGGAAAGAAACATCAATGTGCAACAGATTTGGTTGCATCTCGCCTGACCCCAACTGGGGTCAGGGTTTTTTTTAAATTTGTTAAAATAAGAACATCTTATCACAAAAAAAAGAAAGTAAAACAGAAAAAATACACCCTGGCCCTGGCTGGTGTGGCTCAGCAGATTGAGCGCCAGCCTGTGAACCAAAGGATCATTGGTTTGACTCCCAGTCAGGGCACATGCCTGGGTTGCAGGCCAGGCTCCCAGTAGGGGGCACATGAGAGGCAACCACATATTGGTGTGTCTCTCCCTCTCTTTGTCCCTCCCTTCCCCTCTCTAAAAATAAAAATAACTTTTTTAAAAAATATGCATTTATTAAAAAAGAAAAAAAAGCCATTCACTTTAAAAAATAAAAATAAAAGTAAATACGTAAAATCTTAAAAAAATAAAAATTCAGGCTGGCTGGTGTGGCTCAGTGGATTGAGTACCAGCCCGCAGACCAAAAGGTTGCCAGGCCAATTCCCAGTCAGGGCATGTGCCTGGGTTCCGGGCCAGGTCCCCAGTTGGGGGCATGTGAGATGTTCTTCTCCCTTTCTTTCTCCCTCCCTTCCCCTCTCTCTCTAAAAATAAATAACAATTTTTTAAAAAAGAAAAAGAAAGAAGAAACTGCTCACACAGTTGTCTTTAGACAAGTCCCTACAGCCCCGCACCCGGTTACCTCTGTCCCCAGGCCGTACTGCTTCGTGCACATAAACATGGCCAAGTCATCGAAGAGCCGAAGGATGGTCCTGCAGTGGCTGAGCTGGGAGGACAGTACCAGCAGGCGCGTCCCCACTTCTGACCTGGCTGGACAGTGTTCCGCCAGGACCCCACCAACCAGTTGGCAGCAGTACCCCAGGGTTCGGATCTGTGGGAAAGCAGAAATGGTCAGCATGGCCCTGCTTCAGGAGTAAGCCGGACCCCATGGGCATAGGCCTTGTGGGATGAGCAGGCGGGAAGAGTCTAACAGAGCAAGATTTTAGTAAAAGCTCAAAGTTTTAAAAGAAACATGTAGGACAAATGGAAGAATATGACATCATTTTTTTCAAAAGGTACTGTGGATACTTTAATGAAGCGCTAGCTCATGTCACTGAGGGGCACAGCCTATGGAGACAGATGTGATGGAGACATGAAAAGGAAACCCCCCTTCCCACCTCCTGAGTCCTCCTCATCCAAGTTGGACCAACACCCACGGCCGGGCTGGAAAGTGCCCACACTATCCAGCCTCAGCCCAGTGGACAAAGGATCATTTGCTTAAGTAATTTTAGTGAGAAGGAACCCACACAGTGGGTGATTTGAGCATTGTGAACTGGGCCAGTTTCACTACCCTTCTATCTTAATTTCATCTCCTTTTCAGAAATTACTTTTTCCTGGGTTTGTTTGTTTGTTTTTCCATACTGTTTTTACTTGTAATTCCTTTGGAACACTGCAATTTGAATGTCCAACTTGGCAACTTGATGGGGGCGGGGTGTTAAAACCAAAACGCCTTGGTTGGAACCTAACTGCCCAGCCAGCGGCACCTACCCTCTGCAAACTAAATGGCTGTGTTACTGATTCGGTTAGGACAAGCGGAGAGTCTGGCTTGGATGGAACAACCTAAATGCCCAGCCAGAGGGGATGTGGTTGGAAAATAAACATTCGAACATAGGGGAAAGCCCTGCAAAACCCTAAATCCCGGTGAGATTGTTCAGGATAACCCAGGGACCAACTGCAGTGGCCCCTAGTCAGATCCTGAGCGTCCAGACCTGGGGATGTGGTTGGCATGTAAACGTCCAGCCAGGCTGAGTTGGTGGGAACAACATAAATGCCCAACTACACGGGATTTGGTGGCAACCTAAACGTCCAGCCATAAGTGGAGGCCCGCAACATCCTAAAACCTCATGAGATTTTTTGGGACAACCCAGCACCCTACTGCAAAGGGTCTGGTGGGATCCCAAACGTCCTAACGTGAGGAAGGCCACGGTTGGTTTCCCTGTAAACGTGGGCCGGCACGACCGAAACGTCCACCGCTAGGGACCGGGCTGGAGCCAGCTTAGCCAGGACCTGTGCCAAGGGGGATCCTTAAGCGACCCCGCCCCGCTCTCTGGCCTTAGCTTCCCCGCCTCTGAGCTTTGGTCCAACTCCAGGACCTCCGGCGGCGCTCGGCCCCAGCCTCACCAGGCGATCCCGGCCTCGATAGGATTCCAGCGCCGCCGCCAGTCCGTTCAGCCCCGCCATGGCCACTTCGCCGTGACGTCACCGCACTGCGCAAGGGGAGGGCCTGCCGCGAGGCCACGCCCCCTGGGACGTTCTGCGCCGCGGGGCCGGGATCCTCTGAGTGGTTTCTTTGTCTGCCGCTGCTGCGATCGGAGTTTGCAGCCGGGCCGTCGCGTGCGCGCTCCCACGGCCGTGTGCAGACGGGACAAGTTCTGGGAGCTGGCTGCCTTCACCGCGCGCCCGCCAGAGCGCGCCACTGACGGCCCCGCCGTGGCTTCCCTTCACTTAACCAACCCACAAAGTTAACCAACCCGCAACTACCCACCAAAAAAAAAAATTTATTCCAAGCAAAATGGTTTTTGTTTGTTTTTAATTCTTATTTATTGGTTTTAGAGAGAAGGGGAGGGAGAGAAAGAAACATGGATTTGTTGTTCCACTTACACATCATTGGTTGAGTCTCGTGTGTGCCTTGCCCGCGGATTGAACCCACAACCTTGGCGTATAGGGAGGACGCTAAAACCAACTGAGCACCCCACCAGGGCTGAAAGAGTTTTTTAAATTTCTCTTTCGCTCTTTCTGCATTTACTGCTTCTCTATAATGAGCATATGTGGCTGTTGTAATATATAAGGTACTTTTAGAAAGTTAAGGAAGCGCATAGGCTCCCTAGAAGGACCTAATAGGCAAGAACATGGTAATGTGAGTCTCCTGGGAATGCACGGAGGGCAACTACTTGCTGGAAAGAGGAGATTAAATTTTCATGCCCTGGCTGATGTGGCTGAGTGGATTGAATGCCACCCTACAAACCAAAGAGTTGCTGGTTCAATTCCCAATCAGAGCACATGTCTGGGTTACTGGCCAGGTCTCCAGTAGAGGGCGCTGGAGAGGCAACTGCACATTTATGTTTCCTCCTTCCCCTCTCTCTAAAACTAACTAAAAAAAAAAATCTTTAAAAAAATGTTCACTTTGTTTGATGACTGTTCCTCCTATTGCCTTCAGGTCTGGCTCTAGGATTTTAGGTCATCATAAATTAAAATTTGATTTTCTTCACTCAGAAAATATTAGGATAATGGGATTATCTGTTTATTTTCTGAAATTTGCGGAATCAAACACTTAGTTAAAAAAAATAAAAAAAATTAAAAAAATTAAAAAATTAAAAAATTAAAAAAATAAAAAAATAAAAATAAATAAAAAATAAAAAATAAAAAAATAAAAAATAAAAATAAATAAAAATAAATAAAAAATAAAAAATAAAAAAATAATAAAAATAAATAAAAAAATAAAAATAAAATAAAAAATGTTCACTTTGTAGCACATTGTAGCTTTTGAATTTTGTGCAGTATTGTCTCGTGAAAAAGTTGAATAAGTTTTTTAAAAGTTAACAACCTGTTTACTTTTTTAAAAATTGTGATAAAAGTCATCATTTTAAAATGTTCTATTCAGAGGCATTTAGTACATTCATGTGTTGTACAAACATCACTCCTTTCTAATTTCAAAACATTTTCATCACCCTCAAAGCAGCCCCTGCCACTTGAGCAGCCACTCTTATCCCTCCCTCTCCCGGCCCCTGGCGGCCACCGTCTGTTGTCTGTCTCTGGATTTGCCGGTCCCAGACATTCCATATAAATGGAATCATGCAACATGTGACCATTTGCGTCAGGCTTCTTTCACTGAGCTTCATGTTTTTGAGATTCAGCCACATTGGAGCTTAGATCAGTCAGTACTTCATTCCTTTTGGGGCTGAATGATACCCCATTGTGTGGAGGGACCACGTTTTGTTTGTCCATTAGCTTATGGACGTTGAGGTTGTTTTCGCTCTTTGGCTGTTGTGAATAATACTGTTGTGAACACGGCTGTGCATGTTCGAGCCCCTGCTTTCAGTACCTTCGGGTGGAGACCTAAGAGTGGAATTACTAGATCATATGGTAACTGTATGTTTGACTTTTGTGAGGAAAAGTAAAAAGATTGTTTTCCACAGTGGCTGTACCATTTTACATTCCCACCAATGATGCACAAAATTCTCCACATTCTTGCCAACACTTATATTTTGCTTTTAAAAAATTATTATAGTCATCCTACTGGGTGTGAAGTTGTATCTCACTGCAGTGTTTTGGTTGTTTGTTTGTTTGTTTGTTTGTTTTTGCCTTTTCTTAACAATTAGTGATGTTGGCTGATTGATTGCCTTTTGCAAAATATTCCATCTTGATCTCAACTCCTTTTACTCCTCCTGCCTCAGTCACTCCTTTCCAACCACTTCCCCTGCTCCTGTTCCTTGAAGTTGCAGCACATTCTGCCTCGGGACATTTGCATTTGCTGTTCTCTCTGCCTGGAATGGTCTCCATCCAAATAGTCACTTGGCTTCCTCTCCCACACCCTCCTCATGTTTACTCAAACATCCTGTTCTCATGGGACCTCCCCATCACACCAGCGCACTTACTACCCACATTCCCTGCTGTCCTATTGTTCTTAGCTTGTAACACTACCCAACTGTTACTTTTGCAGCTTGATCTAGTTGTATAGTTATTTGTCTTTCCTCAACAGAATGTGAACTAGGGCAGGGACTTTTATCTGCTGTGGTCTCAGCTATATCCCCATACCTGCCACAAAACAGGTTCTCAGTAAGTGTCGTTGCCTGTGGAGCTCAGCTCCTGCTCTACCTGCACTGTCCTGGGAGATGTCGTCTGCTCCCACAACTTCCGAGCCACCTCTTCACTGGCCTCTCCCCCATCTCTGGCCTGATCTGTCCCCTGCTCCCAACTGCCCCTACCTGCCCCCTGGACATTTCCCCTGAGCATCCCACAAGCCCCTCACACTCAGCAAGTCCCAGGCAGACCACAGCATCGTCCCCCAACACCTTGCTCTCCCACGTCCCCATCTCGGGGCTGCCCCACAGGCCCTCCAGCCTCCCAGCCATAGAAGACATGGACATCACACTCACCTCTGTCCCTCCACTCTGCCTATATCTCAACAGTCACCAAAATATCCCATGAATCCATCCAATTCTTCCCAGTCCACAGCCCCTCCACAGAGAACCCCTAATCTTGCTCACCTGGACCCCACGCCCCTGCCACCCCAGGCCTGCCTTCCCCACAACAGCCCAAGAGATTCTTTAATCCCCACGTCTAACTGCAGCCCTCCTTTATTAAAACCAGGGTGCAGGGTTTTGTGTATCCCCACCCCCCAAGTGGGGACACTGTTCCTGAGCAGAAATCAACCCTGAGCCACGCTCTGGGTCTGCCGAGGGAACGGGAGCCCAGGCCGCAGAGCCTGCACGAGCCACCGGGCCTCTCCTCCAGAGCCTGGGCTGCCTGGCTGCCTCGTAGCAACCCGCTGTGTGCCAGGCCCTGCTCTGGGTCGAGCACAGCAGTGGGCCTTGCAGGCCCTGCCCAGCCCTCCCAGCACCCCCTACTATCTAGTTAGAGCTGAGCTTGACCTTTGAGAAAGAGACAGGAGCTGGCCGGGTGTCCGCAGCTGACCTGCCTGTTGCTAAGAGCTGGCCTGGCAGCCAGAGCGAGGCCCTGGTGTTCTCCCGCCAGACAGAAATAACTTCACAGAATGCCACCGTTAGACAAGGCCACTCAGTGACCGTGACAGAACAAGGCAAAACAAGCCCACTCGTAGTCTGAACACAGGCAAAATGTGGGCATTGTCCAAGCCACAGCAGCAACCAAACGTTGGCTTTTCCTGGCTAATCCGAGTCACTGCTGCCCCTTGACCCCGACAGCTTTAGCCTCACTTCATTCCTTGGATTGCTGGATAAAAATTAAGATCCTCAATAAAAGAGGTACTTCTCCCCCTTGCTTCCTGCAACACCCAGGATGCAACTCATGGGCCGCCCTTCCCCAGCAAACAGCAGGACTAGGCTGACCCACGCGCTGTGTTTGTATCAGCCTGGCTGGGTGGCACTTGGTGCTGGGGAGCAGGTGATGAGACTGTGCCTCAATTGATGGGACTGTGCACAAAACAAGAATTTGCTTAAATTTAGTGAAAAGGGACCCACTTGGCCAATAAGCCCTGGAGGCCTAGTACTCGGTACATGGTTACAGACAGCAAGACCCTATCATAACCATAAAACTTGTTCAGAGGCTGAATCTTGTTCCCAAACTGGAAGAAATGATAATTATGTGACGCCACAGCGGTATTCGCTAGAACGGCAACCACAATGCAGTATAAATGTAGCAGATCAATAGGTTGTAAACTGTAACCTATCTTTTATGTCAGTTATATCCCAATTAAAAAAAAAAGCAAGCCTCCATTTGGTAGGTGATTGGCTGTATCATGAACTGAAACAGGTTGACTACATTTATATCTTTATTGCGTGTTTGTCTTCTTTCCTTTTAAAAACTTTTATTGTGGTCAAACATATATGCAATATACAAAACATATGATTACTGTTGTGATCTTGAAGTGGCATCAGAGCACTCACTGTCATGCGATCACCCCACCGCTCACATCCAGAACTTTCCTGTCACCTAAGAAGCCCAAGTCTGACCATTCCCTTTACACCCCCGAGATGCCTGCAATCCCTCACGGAGTGTGTGCTCCTGGCTGCAGTGAGCGATAAGCCCGAATTTGTTCAGCGGCAGGTGTGTTCCTGATGGGGCGGGAGGGGCGGGCCCTGGCGTTCGCTAAGGTGGTGTTGAACGCTGTGAGCCCTGGAGCGGCAGGAAGCCGTGCAGTGACTCTGAGAGACTGCCCATCTGGCATGGGGACATTTAGGAAGCCGACGAGGCGGGAAACCTGGGAACATGGTGGAAACAGATCCCAGCAGCCTGTGGCCTCAGACCGTCACCGCTGCTTTTCAAAGTGGTTACCATTCCCAGCCCCTTTTCCAGACGACAAAATGGAGATTTCAAGAAGTCAAGTCACTTGGCAGGCTCCCCGAGCTCCCAGGGGGCGGGGTTCTCTGGCCTTGCTCCCCACTTTCCTCCCAGCTGTTCCGAGTTGCCGGGGGACCATTGTGACAGCATTGTCTGAGGAAGCATTTTGAGTCACAATGGGCAGGGCTAGACGGCCCGGATGCAGCCTTGGGGGGAGCATGCGAGCGCCTTCTGCGAGTTGGGGACAGAGGGAACTGGGAGGGTCAGCCCCGTGCCTGCTGAGCGCCTACTGCAAGACTCGTGAGCTCCACGCCACGGCCCCGGGTAGGTGCCCTGTCTTCTTTATCCCTGATGAGGAAGCTGAAGGTCACAGGAGCCCAAGGTGACCTGGTTACTCGTTTCAATTGTCAGATTCTTCCATAAACCACTTGACACCTTCCCAACTTCAACTATTTTAGGTGGCAAAATGATAATTTTTAAAAAGTGACAAACTTAGACCCTGAAAAACTGTGGTTTCATTAAAACCCTTGATGTACGTTTTCGAAAGCGGTCAGCACGGCGAGCAGCTGCGGAAGGGCCCCTGCAGGAGGTGAACGTGCGCCGCGGGCGCTGCTGGCACCGGTGCCTGGTCGCCACAGAGCGAGGAGGGCCGGGCGGGAGGCACCTCTGCTCTGAGGAAGGCAAGGCTGTCCCAGGGGGCCGAAGAGGACGCCGGGCATCTGGAACTGAAGGTCACAGAAGTGAGTGGCAGTATGGAAACCTCTGGCTGTCCGGGGGCCTGAGGGGATGCAGGGGGACCACGGCAGGGGGCGGCAACGCCCGTGAGAGTGAGGGGAGCCGGCGGAGCTGGGCCACAGCCAGGCAGGCAGAGGGGGCTCCCGGAGGCGGAGCGGAGAGCCCGGGCCTTGGCGGCCGGCTGCAGGCGCGGCACGCAGGCCGGGCGGAGGGCGCAGGTAGCCTGCAGCGCCCCGCTGCGCGCCGGGCCGGGCCAGCGCAGGGCCTTCACAGCCGCCGGGGCGGCGCCAGGAACGCAGCCCGCACCGTCCTCAGGCCTTTGTTCGCCTCTCGCCTCGGGGAGGCCTGCCGTTTTAAAACGCAGCCTTCCCACCTGGAACCCACCCTTCTACCCGGGGTGACTTTTGTGACCACAGCACTTGTCACCTTCTGTTTATGCTGCAATTTATGTTATTATATTATAGATTATATATTAATTTACCTACCACGATTATATAATTACATGATATATAATGATTTTACAATGCATTATATTATATACAAATTATATTACATTTATTATATTAGTATATTACAAACTGTCACCTTCTGCCCCATTATCAACTCCACAAGGTCAGGGATCTCAGTCTGTTTCATGAGCTGATGGACCCCGTAGCCAGTAACTGTCAAAGAAATGATTATTCATTTCTTACTTTCCCTGGGAACAGCACAAGGGGCTGCACCTGTTTCTTATCAAGGCCTCAATCCCAGGCCCAGTGCCTGGCACACAAGGAGTAAAAGACAGCATGGTCCTGGCAGGCACTTGCTCAGTCCTGTGTCCCCACCTCCTCACAGGTGGCGCTGTGTCCCGCGATGCCCGTGGGTGCCCTGCTGCCGTGCCCGGCGGCCCGGCGGGACTTCCTCAAGGCCTCACACTTCGCTCTGGGGTCGGACCCGCAGCTGCACATGGGTGCCACGCATTCCACGACGCACCGCGACTTCCCAGCATACCCGGACGTCCCCCGCGCACTGCCGTGCCCGCCGCCTCCTCGAGCGACCCTCTTCCATCAGGACACGCGCTGGGCCAGTGGGGAGTTCCTGTCGGCGGCACACTGTGCGTTTGTGTCACCGCCCACCCCGTTGAGGGAGACGGAACGGGCGCGGGCGGGGGCGTGCACACACGCCGCTCAGGCCAGCCACCTGCAAGTGCGAGAGAACGCGCGGGGACGTGCCCTCCTCTCCACCGCGCGCGCCGACTACGGTTGGCCAGCGCTGCCGGCGCGCGACAGCGAGCAGAGCCCAGGCGCGCGCCTCATCTTCCACCGGGACTCGGTGCCACCTGGTGACCGAGCCAAGCTGCGCATTCCGCCAACCACTCACCAAGCGCTCTTCCTGCCGCACGACGTGTACCCTCAGTCCACAGCGTCCTGCGGCCACCTCCGTGAGCGCTCCCCTGGCGCCCTGGGCTATTTGCTCAACCCAGAGGTTCTCAAAGCAGTCAGGGGCCTGTGCCCTCCCCCAAGGGACATTTGACAACATCTGGAGATCATTTTGGTTGTCATAACTGGGAGAGGGAATGCTAATGGACAGGAAGTGCGTAGAGGCCAGGGTTGCTGCTAAACACCCTATCACGCATAGGACAAGCCACCCACAGTAATTATTTAGCCCCAAAGGTCAACGGTGTGAGATTGAGAAACCCTGGAACGTCCTTGAACCTCAGTTGTTGCATCCATAGAATGGGCATAACTGTACTGGCTGGTGTGGCTCAGTGGATTGACCACCAGCCTGAGAACCAAAGGGTCACTGGTTCGATTCCCAGTCGGGGCACACACCTGGGTTGTGGGCCAGGTCCCCAAGTGGGGGGCACACGAGAGGCAACCACACATTGATGTTTCTCTCCCTCTCCTTTTTCCTCCCTTCCCCTCTGACTAAAAATAAAATCTTTTGAGAGAGAGAGAGAGAGAGAGAGAGAGAGAAAGAGAGAATGGGCATAACTCCTGAACCCCTTCTGGGGCTGTGGGGCTGGGCCGAAGTCATGAATGATGGCTGGGGACCAGACAAATCGGCCAAGCATCCCACTCCCGCCCCAGCCCCTTGCGTAACTGAGCAGTTGACCCCTCTATGCGAAATGAATGGAGCGACCGGGCCCCGGTTCACAGGAGCTGGTGAAGCAAAAAGAGCCCAGAGTGCACGGTGCTCCTGGCACAGCGTCAGTGCTCAACCAAGAGTCGCTGCTGTGTGTGATTTTCCAGTTCCGTGACTCCAGGGGGGCCGCTGGCCAGCGTCACTAGTCAGAGCCCTTTCAGCCTGGATCCAGAGGTTGTCAGGCCTGGATTTGACTCTATCCTCGCTCTTAATTTCTGTGGTTTCTAACTTCTCTGAGCCTCGGGGAGGCTGTAAAGTGGATGAGGGGGATGATACCAGTCCCTGCAAACAAGGTGCAAAGCACTTAGATACCTGGCTCAGTACTTGGTAGTTATCCTTGTGACTGTTACTATTTTTGGTGTTTGCCCAACAGCCTCAGGCGAGGCTAGTCAGGGCTGCCCACCTCCCCTCCCAGACAAGGAGTCCCAACCGTGGGGGCCTGAGGCTGCAGGGAATTAACCCCTCTCTCTCATCTTGCCCATCCTCAGGGGGCCCCACCCCCCTCAAGTGGGACCACAGGAGATGGGATGACGGGACCTCCTATCAGAGACAGTTCCAGGCCCTGATGAGCCCACCTGCCTTGATGTGTAAGAGGGTAAATCAAGGCTGCTGGTGCTGCTGGGAAGGGCAGTCACGGGGCTGGGTGGCCTTGATCTTCACATCCCTGTCCATTCACAGGACTCCTCCAGTGTGGCACTGGGAGACTTCAAGATTGGCTATGAGCCCATATGTTCGGAACAGAAACAAGCCTACAGGCCCCAGGGTCTGCCCCCAGACAGGTATATGACCTTCCACCACCAAGACGGGGCAAAGGGCTCCTAGCAACCTGTGCAGTGTGCCACCGGAGGCCAGCGCCAACACTGTGCTGTAGAGGTCTCTGTCACCCGCAGGCAAGGCCCACTGTTGTGCCGGATCTCCCACCGTTAGTACCACATGCTTGGCCACTGGGAAGCCTGCTCCCATCCCTTTTCCTGGGAGTTGCGAGGGCCCAGATCAGGTGGATCCCCCCTCATATGCAGGTATGACAAGGCCCGGGCCTCGGCCCACACCTACTATGTGAATATTGGCCCTGGCGATGGCCGCTTCCGTGGCAGGACCACCAACGCTGAGCACTTCCGTGCCCAGGACCCAGGTGAGAGCCTGCTGGGCTGCCCTGCCCCTTGCCCCCACAGCAGCCAGCCAGAGCCACTCAGCACTTCCTCTGCCACTGGCAGAGCCTTTTGTTTTTCACCACAACTGGACTCCGGAGTCACACATCCTGGGAGGAAATCGGTGCCCAGGCCCAGGCAGCCTCACCACCTCCATGCACCACTTCTATGGCCAGGTCAGTGGGAAGTGAGGGAGGAGGCTGGGCTCCGCAGGGAAAAGGAGTTCCCAGGTAGAGCAAAAAGACTATGCAAAGGTCCTGAGGTAGGAGTCAGCCTGACAGGCGTGCGGTGATCTCCAGGTGGGTAAGTCCCTTAACTTCTCCTAACCTCAGTGTCCCTGGCTGTAAAATAAGAGCGTACCAACTCTGGGTGCCATCAGGTGGGGCCCAGAGAGGGTGTGACCCGTCTGAAGTCATATAGCACCCAACTCATCCATCCAACCGGGCCTTGGGATATCTCGGACAGCTCCTAAATGCCATGCGGTCCTATAGCCGCTGCCAGTGACCAACTCACACAGCCGCCACGTGCCTCATGAGAAATTGCAGAGTCACATGACCCTGGGGGAGTCGAAGCTGCTCAGACAGTTCTTCCAGACCTCCATGGGCACGGACTATTACCCCCCTGGCACACAACCGCTGCAGAAAGCGCTCAACCTCCACTTGCTGCGGAGCAACCTGCCAGAGGGCACCGGTGGTGAGAGCGGCCCCGCCCTGCCACAGCTCTGGCCCCGCCCACTCCCCCCTCCCGACTCTGGCTCCCTCTCCTGTTGGGCTACGTCCACCCGATCGACCGAGATCCCAACCCTGCCTTTAGACAACCCCGCCCCCTCGCGGTCCTGATCCAATAACCCCCCCCTCCACCCACCAGCCTCCCCGCCCCTTCTCGCTGCGGTACCGCCCCCTGCGCAACCTTAGCCCCGCGGCTTTCCCCGGTCACCCTCGGGCTCCGTTCCCTCACTCACGAGTCCACACCCAGCCTGGCCCCACCCCCAAAGACCCGTCTGAACTTGCCCAGCGGCACCTCCCCCCAACCCCCTACCTCGGCTCCTCCTTTCTTCCCTCCTCCTTATCCAATTTCCGTACCCGCCCAGGCTTCGCCCTGACCCCTACTCCATTCTTAATCCTCTAAATCCCTGCCCCGTGGGGTCTGCCTTTCTTCCCTCAACCCCTCAATTCAGCCACCCCACACCCAAATCCCCAGAAGCAGATTTTTTAACCATGAACCAGAAGATGCTGAAACCACACAGAATAGCTCCAGCCTCCGTGACTGCGAAGATGCTACAGCGGGTGAGGGGCTGGGGGCTGGGCGGGGGTGCGGGGGGGGGGGGGGAGAGTCACTTCCCTGACCAGGAAACCCCCCAAATCAATCTAGAATTATCTCAGGATGCTTCCATTGTCACCTGAGACTCAGAATTAGTGCAAGTTCGCACAGGGTCACTCTAGAGTCACCCCAAGCTCAAGGTCATGTCAGGATCAGCTCAGGGACATCTTCAAATACCAGCCACAGTTATACCACAAGCCAAGAGTTAGCAAAGGGTCTCCTGGAGTCACCCCAGCCCTTGGGGTCATTCCAGCCCCCACCCCCACCCCGGTTTCTCATCCAGCTCCCGGGTCAGCCCAAACTGCAGCCCTTTGTGCCTACCTCCCCACTGCCCATCACTAAGCTTTGATGCTCTCAGGGTGGTGCGGGGACCATGGGGTGGCCTGGGCGGGTTAGCTACCCTCCGGGCTGCCCTGCCAGGCCACCCCTAACTCCACAGTGCAAGGACAGCCACATGGAGCCCCCACTGGGTGGACAGCGCTTCTTCTCAACCCAGTATGAGGATGAGTTTGCCTTCAAGTACCAGGGCCCAGCAGTGCTGAGATCAGGCAACTTCCAGGACAGCCACGTGCCACTGGGCTCCCTTCACCAGTGGGGCTGGGGGGCTGGGAAGGTAAACCCTCAGGCCCCCCAGGTCCCTACCTACCCCTGTCCTTACCAGCAATAAACACCACCTTGGCAACACCCCACCCCCTCCATCAGTCAGCCGTGCAAAAGGGTGTTTGGATGCGCGGGGACTGTGCCAGAGAGAATGACTCCATCAGAAGAGTGTGGAGGCTGCTCCACTCTGGGCAGGGAGGTCATGCCAGCTCATGCAAAGACTTGGCGGCCAGACACAGCATAAGATATTCAGGTACCATGACAATTTCTGAATGACGTGGAGAGGTAGTGTGCTGAGACATGGAGAATGCAGGCTTCTGGGGCCAAATGTACAGAATCCAAATCCTGAGCCCTCCACGTCCTGGAAAGCAGTCTTGGGCAAGTTCTCGAGCCCTCTAGCCTTAGTTTGCTCACCTCTAAAATGGAGATAAACACTAGCTCTCTCACTGAATGTTATAAGTGAGAAATGGACACGTATCACTGTGTGTGGCCGCGAGGTCAAGGAGGGAGAGAGCTTACCTTCTGAAGATGGTCAGTAGGGAAGAGTAAGATGAAGGTGTGAGGAGACTGCAGTCATTAAGAGACTGGGTGAGCCCTGGCTGGCATGGCTCAGTGGGTCGGGCATTGTCCCGCAAAGCCAGAGGTTGCTTGTTCGATTCCCAGTCAGAGCACATGCCTGGGTTGTGGGCCTGGTCCCCAGTTGGGGCATGTGCGAAAGGCAATCCATTGATGTTTCTCTCACACAGAGATGTTTCTCTACCTTCCCCTCTCCAAAATGAATAAAATTTTTAAAAGAGAGGGAGAGAGAGAGCACGCCCTAGAGGTGTGGCTCAGTGGATTGAGCGCCAGCCTGCTAACCAAAGGGTCGCTGGTTTGATTCCCAGTCAGGGCTCAGGCCTGGACTGCAGGCCCAGCAGGGGGGGCACGTGAGATGCAGCCACACATTGATGTTTCTCTCCCTCTCTCTCTCCCTTCCTTCTCTCTCTAAAAATAAGTAAATAAATTTTTTAAAAAAATAAAAAAAAGAGAGAAACTGGGTGGGGCTCAGTGGAAGTATGAAAGGGTCGGCATGATGAGAATGGTCCAACAACTGCCTCCATTGTGGGCAGAGGCTGGGAGGTGAACGGTGCACTGACTGGCTGGGGGTCTGGCCCCCAGGTCAGAACTGACAAAATCCATCCGGGTATGATGGGATTCAAGGGGACAGCTGTCCAGCAGACAACAGTATGAAAAGAACGGAAGAGGAGGATGGGGTGGGACCCTGAAGCCCATGGGTGACCCCGTTAGCAAGCATGTAAAGGACCAGTCAGTGCCTCGGATAGCACCTTACCTTGAAGGTCTGGCGCACGGCGAGAATACCAGGAAGCCGGTTCTGTGTGGAATAAGATGGGTCTTGGTGGCCATACCCAGGGCCTGCCTTCCTAGGCAGCTGAATATGATTCCCTGACTGTAGTCAAATCTTCAAAAAACCAAAGCCCCCAATCCCATGGGCCACTAAAAGCCAACCCCAAGTGTGGCCAGGAGTCCTTTCCCCATGGGCAGCCATTCTGTGAGGCTAGCCTGTCATTTCCACAGAAAACACAGGAGTTCAGCTTTCAGTCCTACAGGGACAAGAGGGCCTTTCTGGCTGCACTCCTGTGTCCACGTTGACCACAAGAGGGTCACCAGCTGCAGAGCACCTCTTCCGTTTGCCTCCACTAAAGCTCTCCACGGCCCTCTTCTGATTCACTGCTTGGTAAACCAGGATTTCTCAATCTCAGCACTATACCTCCTGACATTTTGGATAAGATCGTTCTTTGTTGTAGAGGCCATGTTGTGCTTTGCAGGGTGTTTAACATCATCCCTGGCCTTTAACCATTACACACTTCCTCTCCCACACCCAACTGTGACAACCAAGAAAATCTCCAGATGTTGCTACATGTCCCCAGGGTTGGGGAGGGGGCATTGCCCTGGTTGAGGATCACTGCAATAAATCCTTCCTACAAGGATTCCTAGGACAAAATCGGGTGCTCCTGATGAAGCTGGTCTCCTTATTGACCATATTACTCAATCAAAAAGACCTCCTTTTTGTCTTGAAAGCTCAGAGAGCTGGCTTTGGTGTTCAGTTTCACGTAGCTCCAGTTGCAGGATTATCTGTGCTTCTGCCTGGTTCTAGGAATGGTTTAAAGCAACCCAGACACCAGGTGAGAAACAATGAGTAGGAGATACAAGAAGGCAGATTTCAGCAAAACTTGAAGCATTTTCTAACAGTGAAACTGACCAGCCCAGGATGGTTGCCAGGAAAGAAGAGAAACCTTACTGGAAGTATTTAACCAATGCGGAAAGACACGTCACGATGACTCTGGATGTACTTTATGTCTGTCCCTCCTATGTTCCACTTACCTTCTAAAAAAGACATTTTCTGTGAACTACAAAAACCGAAAAGGCTTATGAAATAAGATGAATAGGATTGAAAGTGAAAGGAAAATGACCTTATCCATGATAAAAATCACCCAGCAGCAGAATTCAGACCTGCCACTTACCTGTATTTCTGTGCTTGAACAAGTGACTTCGCGCTGACCCTCACTTTCCTCATTAGTCAAATGGGGGTGGCAAGAGCCCTTCATTCATAGAGTACCTACAAAGTTTAAATAAAGCAAGCACAAACCACACTTAGAACAGGGCCTAGCGCTCGGCTGCCACTCAATAAATGGTGCCTAAATTTTGACGTCTTAATCTTTGTTGCAAGTGACAAAAACCCAACTTTTACTCAAGGAGAAAGAGATTTTATTGGCTTAGAATCAACAAGGCCTGCAATTAGGTCTGACATCAGGCATGCTGGTTCCACATCAGGATTCTTCCTGAAAATCTAAAAGTTCACCAAGTGGTGGGGAAAAAAGGATATGGTACCTCAAATCCTTAGAATTAAAGCCCCAAAGGAAAGGGGCATCTTCCTGACCCGACTCTCATTGGAATTCAAGGAACACTCGGTCCGCTGGAGTCACGGGCACTGTGCCCAGGGGGACGGGCCGCTGTGACTGGTCCTCCAGTCCGCAGGAGGGTCTTGGAGTCCAGAGCCCACCCTCAGTGGAGTTCTGTCTCTCGCAACAGACCTGTGCCTGCCGGTCCCCCTCAGACCTGCCTTGCCCCAGTCTGGAAGGTGGAAAGACATTGAGCAGGCTCCTCCCTGTGAGGGTGAGTGTTTCCTTTGCCGGCAGGGAGTGCAGCCTGGGGCCTAGGGGACACCCTCTTCTCTGTAATCCCAATTTTATCTTCTATCTGATTACTAACTTCCTCTTTCAGCCTGGGGCAGAGACTTCAGCTCTGGCAATCTCACAAAACTGAGTAGATGTTAATCTCTGTGTATATTACAACATCCTGATATTTTTTTTTCCAAAGCCCCATAAAACACAGTCTCAGGAGACACAGGGTTAGAGTCCCAAGATAAAATAGGCAACAATTGAATCAGCTATTTTTCTTCCACATAGCAGAGTTTTCCAGTGTCCGGAGGAGGACCCCTCCGGCGCTCCTGGGCAGGCGGCGCACTGCACAAGCCCTGGAAGCCCTGTTCACTTCACAGTGAACGTGTGTATGTCGTGGCCCGGGCCCTCTACCGCACCTTTGCTCAACCAATCTCACATTTTAAGTTATTTCCTTTATAATACTCTCCCCTTTCCAGGTATTCATTTCTAAATTAGTCATGATTGTTATAGATGCAAGAGACAAGACACCTAGTAAAAGTAGCTCAGAAGCCCGAGAAATTTGTTGGCTCATAATACGGAAAGAATGAGGGCTTCCGTATGTCTATAGCCAAGAGCTGAAGCAACTCTCACCTTCACATCCTGATGCAAATTGACTTCAGTCTGCAGACCATCCTTCCAGACAACTAAAGAAGGTGGCTGCAGGCAGAATGAGGCTCCTTATAAAGCTCACAATCTCACCTTGGTTGGTGTGGCTCAGTGGGTTGAGTGCTGGCCTCTGAACCAAAAGGTCACCAGTTCAATTCCCACTCAAGGCACATTCCTGTGTTGCAGGACAGGTCCCAAGTTAGCAGCTCTTGGCTATAGAGATACTGAAGCCCTCATTCTTTCCATATTATGAGCCAACAAATTTTCTGGGTTTTTGACCTACTTTTACTAGGTGTCTGTCCCTGGCATCTATGGCAATCATGATATTTAGAAATGAATACCTGGAAAGGGGAGAGTATTAAAGGAAATAACTTAAAATGTGAGATTGGTTGAGCAAGGGTGAGGTAGTTAACATGCCGCTACCTCTCACCTTCTCTTTCTTTCTTCCCTTCCCTCCTCCCTGAAAGCAAATATCTTTAAAAAATAAAGTAGAATAAAGCTCATGAACAAAGGGAAAGCAAAAGTGCTGATGCCGATAGAGATACTGAGCGGACAGAAACAGCAGCTGCAGAACGAAGAACCAGCCACATAATCCAATTGCAGTCTCAGGTCTCTCACATCTGTTGCAGGCTTTTCCACAAAGACATGAAAAGCGGATCTTGGGTCTCTAGAAGTTTCAAGGAAGGAAGAGGAACAACTCCCAGAGGCCTGATTTGCTCAGGACTATAACAAAATTCACCAGGCACTGACCATGAGAAACACAGCAGCAAGGAAGACCGCCGGCCACGGGGCAGCTCTGTGGGGGAGAGCGGGGCAGGAGGGCATCCTAACAGGCTCTGGGCGCGTGCTGGGCAGTTTCGAGTAGAACCACGTCTCAGGTGGTGCTGTGTATCCCAGAAGTGGGGCTGTCATGGGTAAGAAAAGCAGCAGTCATTTCAGTCAGCCAGGAGGGGTGTGTGTTTTTGTGGCGGCACAGTGTCCCTTGTCTCTGGCTTGGTGCAGATGTGGTCACAGAGTGGCCTTGTGCGACCATTGTTTATATTCTGTGACTGCTGTTTCTGTTCCGGGAAGAACATCACGGCCCGGCTGCCAGCCGCAAGCTGTTCTTCATTCCCTCCCACAGGATCTTTGTCTCCAAGTCAAGTCTGCCCAGGCTCCGCCAGGCTTCTCCCCAGGATCATCACTCCAGGGAGTGTCAGGCTCAGGGTGGCGGCAGTGAGTGACCCTTAACTGGGTAGGAAGAAGGAAACACTCAGGGACAGAGTCCCCAACTGTTCCTTGGGAAGCCTTAAAGGGAAATGCTGGATTAAGCAAAGATAAACACGTTTGTAAATTGCAGGGCTTCTCAGAGCCTTGGCTATACTTACCTTGTGAGAGAGACATGTTTGGTGTGTTTTGAACAAAGACAGAGTCAGAGACATGGGCAGAACGGGGAGAGGGAGCGAGAGCGGGGGCGGGGGGGTACAAAGGCCAAAAGATGGTAACGGAGGCACAGAAATAGAGGCGCAGAGAAAGGAATAGAGATAGAGACGGGCAGAGAGCGACAGGAATGGAGATAGAGACGGGCAGAGAGACAGAGTAAGGGACAGAAGTAGGCAAGGGAAGAGGGGGGGAGTGGGAGACAGGCAAGGACGGCCGCGCAGGCGGGGCGCGGCGCAGATAAGTGCGCGGCCGCGCTGTCGGGGCCGCAGGGTCGGGACAAAGGCTGGCTCTGGGGGCGGGGGCGGCGATGGCGAAGGCCGCGGCGGGCGCGGGCGAACTACAAGTCCCAGCAGCTCCCGCTGCGGCCCTCGGCCGGCCCCTCTCGCTCCCCGGGAGCGCTTGGCGGGGCCGCTGGGCCGAGGGGGCCGCCGGCGGGGCTGGCGGGCGGGGGCCTAGCTGCGGGCCCCTGGGGCGCCGGCGGGTGCAGCGGGCCGGGCAGGGGCGAGGGGCGCCGGGTGAGTGTCCCCGCGAGCGGGTCGGCGGACGAGGACCGGGTTAGGGTGGGGGGAACCTCGGTGCGGGGCGCGGCCCAGGGCGACGTCCGTGCGCCCCCCACCAAGCGCGCCGCCTGCCCGGGCCCGGGAAAACCCTGTCGCGGCGCGATGCGAGGGGCCGAACGTCTCGCGGGCCTGGCGCGCCCCGTCCGCCGCTGCGGCCCGGGGGTGGGCCCGGCCCGAGCAGGACGCCTTAGCTGGCGAAGGATGGGGGGCAACCCTCAGCTGTGAGGTCAGGGGTTCAGGATGCCCCCTCCCCTACAGCCGATCCGGACCCCCCACCTCCCCGCTCCGCCGGCCCCAGGAACCCAGAGGGTCTCCAGGCATTGTTCTCCCCACCCTGAGCCTGGGGTTGGGAGTTCAGGAGGCTCTTTCTCAAGATGGGGATCCAGTGCTTCCCTCTCTATGCCAGGACCCGGGGTATTGTTCCTCTCACTCTCCAGTCTTGGGGGTCCAGAGTTCTGGAAGGAGGTCATCTAGGAACCCAGGAGGGGTCCCAGGCATTGTTCCCCCACCTTCCAACCTGGGATTCTGGGTAGAGGAGGTGATCTAGGAACTTAGCCCCTCCGGGTGCTTACCCACTAGAAGCTATGGGCTGTGGCCCAGGATGTCTCCCTCCCCAGGAGAAGTCCCCTGTTCCCCAGGAACAGATGTATTTGTTCCCCCCAATTTCTAGCCATGGGGTGGGTAGATTAAGGCATCACCTCTGATCAGGTAATTCTAAGCTCCCCATGCTCCCCAGAAGGGGTCCCAGCTACTGTTTCTGCCCCTGCCCACCCTACCCCACCCCCTCCGCCGCCCACCCTGCCTCCCTACCTCCAGCATGGAATTCAGGATCTTTCCTCCTGACACACTCCCCCGTACCCCAGCCAGAGAGGGCCAGGCACTCAGGAATCTCCCCTTTCTCCGAGTGGGCTCAGGGGTCCCCCCAGTCACCCAAGAGGGACCCCAGGTTTTATTTCCGCCCAATCCCCAGCTAAGGGTTAGAGGTCAGGGTCTCCCCTCCAGCTGAGCAGCAAGTACCCGGACTGCTGCCCTGTCGGTGGGATTCGTGGGTCTCCCCACCGCCGGGTCGCACGTGCTATTCCCCACTTCCTGCTCTTACCTTTGGAGCTGGCATTCTGAAACACAGGTGTTCTGACTGTCACTCCCACCCCGGAACTGCGAGGCCTGGCATTCAGCTGGTCCCTTCGCCAGGAAGCAAGCCAGGGCGCCCCTGTGTTCCCCCAGTGACCCAAGAGCACTGCCAGATGTAATATGCCCCCCACCCTCATCCCCCAGATACAGACTTCTAAGTTCAGGATGCTTTCTCTCTAATAGTCAAGCCAGAGGTCTCCCTCCCTACCAGGAACCCCCAGATGTTCCACCTGTGACTGTGGGACAGGAATTCAGGCCGTGCACTTAGAGGCGAGCCCAGGAACCCGACAGCCAGCCCCTTTTCCACGAGGGGTAGGAACCTAGGACTCTCTCTCCACAGGACCCGCGCTTCCCACGGGAGGAGGAGTCCAGGATGGAGAGAGGGGCAGAGCCATGGAGTTGGGTACTGGAGACCTCTAGTGCCAGATCCCATGACTTCCATCCAGGTGTGGGGCTAAGAAGGGAGGGCCCGTCCCCAGGTCCCACCAGGGTCTTTTTTCTCCCTGCCCTGGCTAGACCGAGCGGCAAGTCTCCCTGTGGTCTGAGGCAAGAGAAGGATCCATGTATTTGTTCAGAAGTGGGTGCTGGGGCACAGCCTGGCCACCTGTCTCATCCCTGCCCAGGCTTCAAAAGAGACCCCCTGCTCCCTAGAACCTACCTCTGCCCACTCTGTCCTCACCCTGCAGATCCTGCCCCGGAAGCGGCTGGCACTTCCACACCCGGGATGCGGCGCTCAGTCCTGGTCAGGAACCCAGGCCACAAAGGCCCGAGACCCACTTATGAAGAACTAGACTCAGACTCAGAAGACGTGGACCCCAAACCCGAAGAGCTAGACCCAGTTTCTGAAGACGCGGAGCCTGACCTGGAAGATCTCAACACTGTCTCTGAAGACGTGGACTCCAGCTGTGAAGGTCTGGAGCCCACCTCCAACGACCTGGACCCTGATGCGGAGGCACCAAGCTCCATCTTGGGGACCCGTGCCATGGATCCCCAAGATCTTGACCCCATGTCTTCGAGTTTTGATCTCGATCCAGACGTCATTGGCCCTGTCCCCCTGGTCCTCGACCCTAACAGCGACACCCTCAGCCCCCCAGAAGCCCCAGACCTGGACCCCCTCTCTTCCAGCCTCACTGCCACCCCAGAAGGCCTGGCCACCAGCCAGGCGGTGCTCCCTGCACCTGCCAGTCCTCCCCGGCCCTTCTCCTGCCCCGATTGCGGGCGCGCCTTCCGCCGCAGTTCAGGGCTGAGCCAGCACCGCCGCACTCACAGTGGAGAGAAGCCCTACCGCTGCCCCGACTGTGGCAAGTCGTTCAGCCACGGCGCCACGCTGGCCCAGCACCGGGGCATCCACACCGGCGCGCGACCCTACCAGTGCGCAGCGTGCGGCAAGGCCTTTGGCTGGCGCTCCACGCTGCTGAAGCACCGCAGCAGCCACAGTGGCGAGAAGCCCCACCACTGCCCAGTGTGTGGCAAGGCCTTCGGGCACGGCTCACTGCTGGCGCAGCACCTGCGCACGCATGGTGGCCCGCGGCCGCACAAGTGCCCGGTCTGTGCCAAGGGCTTCGGGCAGGGCTCGGCGCTGCTGAAACACCTACGTACGCACACAGGCGAGCGGCCCTACCCGTGCCCGCAGTGCGGCAAGGCCTTCGGCCAGAGCTCGGCGCTGCTGCAGCACCAGCGCACGCACACGGCCGAGCGCCCCTACCGCTGTCCCCACTGCGGCAAGGCCTTTGGCCAGAGCTCCAACTTGCAGCATCACCTGCGCATCCACACTGGCGAGCGGCCCTACGCCTGTCCCCACTGCTCCAAGGCCTTCGGGCAGAGCTCGGCGCTGCTGCAGCACCTGCACGTGCATTCCGGAGAGCGCCCCTACCGCTGCCAGCTCTGCGGCAAGGCCTTCGGCCAAGCCTCCAGCCTCACCAAGCACAAACGGGTGCATGAGGGCGCAGCCGCGGCAGCTGCGGCAGCTACAGCCGCTGCGGCCAGTCTGCGCCTTAGTCCTGCTTCGATGTTGCGGCCTGGACAGGTCTCCCTCCTGGGTCCTGACACTGTCTCTGTACTTGGCTCTGGCCTAGGCCCTGACCCTGGCTCTGTGCTGGGCTCCCTCCCCAATCCCAGCCCCAAACCCGGCCCTGGCTCTGGATCTACCCCCAGCCCTGACCCTGTCAAGTATTCTGACCCTAAGCCTGGTCACAATGCCAATCCTGACCTTGTGGCAAGCCCTGACCACGGATCTGGTCGCAGCTCAGACCTAGATCCTATGCCCAGCCCCAGCCCCAACCCCGATTCCCACCCTGACCCCAGCTCCCCGACCCGTGAGAGTTCAGCCCTCCCTACCTGTGAGAGTCCTGAGTGGGTGAAGGAACGAGGGGCACTGCTGGGGCCGGATGGCTGAAGGGGACACTGGTACCCACCGAGGCCTGGGGAAGTTGTGTGTCATGCAGTTAGTAAAATCCTCCCACTGCCTTCTGGCTCTGTTTCATGGTTCTGTTTCTCTTCTTCCCCTAATGCATAGCTCCCTGGGAAATGGGAAGGTGTGGCCTGAGCCAGCCTCACGCAGAGCCCCGGTTTCCCCGACCCCAGCAGTCAGCGCTCTGCTGCCCCAGACCTGGTCACCTTAGTCAGGAGCAGACTTAGCTTTGCAGGTGGTCTGAGCAGCATCCCTTCCCTTTGGTTTATCTGGACGGTGGGATGGATGGTATGTTGGAATTGATTGATGCCGTGGAGTGATTGTGGAAGCTGTCCTGCCTCCTCTGCTGCCCGGACTCACCCCTGGCCCTTCCAAGTCCACATTCTAGGTGCACCACCAGACAAAGGAGGCCGCTCATTTATGCATGCAGCAAACATCTGTTGGGAGCTCACAGATACCAAGCTTGGAAACGTTCAAAAAGTAATTACAGGATACGGTACATTGGTGTAGAAGTATACAAGACTTCTGACTTAAGTAAGGGACAGCTTTCTGGAGGGAGGATTTTAATTCCAGTAAGCACTAATTTAATCATCAACACTGTTGGCCAAGCCTTGTGCTATGCTTTTGCATTTTCTTTTCTCTTATTTTTTTTTAGCTCTGAAGAATGTTTAAGTTATTTTTTAAAAGATCTTTTAAAAAGATTTTATTTATTTAGAGCAGGGAAGGGAGGGAGAAAGAGAGGGAGAAACATCAATGTGTGGTTGCTTTCTCACATGCCCCCTACCAGGCACCTGGCCTGCAACCCAGGCCTGTGCCCTGACTGGGAATTGAACCGGTGACCCTTCGGTTCCCAAGCCCACACTCAATCCACTGAGCCCCACCGGCCAGAGTGTTTTTGTTTTCATTGCTATTCCATTGCAGTTGTCCTGATTTTCCTCCCCTTTGCCCTCCTCCTCCGCCCATCCCACCCCCCACTGCCTTTTCTCACTTAATTCTTTCAACAGCTCCACGGAGTGGGCAACTATGATTGAGCACCCCTTTTTGAGGATGAATGAAAATGATGAAATGGAGCTTAAGGGACTCTGGAAGACAGAGAAATGGCAGTTGGCAGCACCTAGATTTAACCCGAACCGTCGCCCCCCAGATCCCGTGTCCCGAACTGTTCCACCCCAGGGCGAGTGTGCGAAGGCCCGGCCCGAGAGCCCGGCGTGGGGGGTCAGAGGGCCCTGGGAGGCTGCAGTGGGGGGTTTGTCATCCCAGAGAAATGGGAAGCCACTTGCAGGTTCTGGCAGAGGACTGATGTGAATTCTTTTTTTTTAAACTTTTGTTTGTTTGAGAGAGGGGAAGGGAGGAAGAGGAGAGAAACATCAACATGGGAGAGACACATAGATCAGTTGCCTCTTGTATGTGCCCCAGCTGGGGACAGAACCCACAACCTAGGTACGTGCCCTGATGGGGAGTCAAACGTGCAACCTTTTCAGTTCGGGGAGCCATGCCCAACCAGCCACATCGGTCAGGGCGAATTGCTCTTTGAAGATGGATGGAGAGCTGTAATGGAAGGGGTCAGAAGTGGAAGTCTAAAATCAAAAGAGCTTGCTGCAGTCATCCAGGCTAGGAATGGTGGGGAACTCTGGGCTGAGAGCCATAAAAGTGGGAAAAAGTGGTCCTATTTGAGATAAAATTAGGAAATAAAATAGGATTTGCTGAAAGGTCATATGAGGGGCTGAAGAGGAAGGGGTTGAGAGTAACCCGGGAATCTTGGGGCATCTCTGAGGCTAGACGGGAAACAACCCTTAGAAGGATGTAGGGTCATCACCGAACCTCGCGGACGTGGACACCACCAAGAGGTTGGCACTGGATGCGGGCATGACAGGGAGCTAGTCCTACGTTGGCACTCTCAGAGCCAGCCGGTCGGTCCCCTACCATCGTGCCGCCAGTCGGCGCTAGGGCCTCGCGACCGCCCCGGCCGACAAGTCGCCCGAGGAAACGCGCAAGCACCCTGCTCTGGCAGGTGTGGTCTTGGCGCCCGGGAGGGGACGGGATCCGGTCACGTGCCTCCAAGGGCGCCCTGGCCACGTGACCCGGGCGCGAGTCAGCTGATGCGCAAGGGTTTGAAGCTGCACAACGAGGGAACGCGATCGCTGTGACAGCGGCGGGCGCTGTGGCCCCGGCTGCCCAGCCGCGCCCACTGGCGTCCGGCGCTCCCCGCCCGGAATGGCAGCCCCCGGGGGCCGGTGCGGCTCAGGTGAGGTCGCGGGCGCCCCTGCGGGACGCCGAACGCGGGCGGTCAGCTGCCCCGACGTGGGACGGCCGAGTCGCCAGTTTCCCTTCCCCGAATTGCGGTGCTGACCTCTGAGCTTTCCCGCGGGGGAGAGATGTGGGCAGAAGGCTCCTAGAGCTTGGGCGGCGGGCGGGCACCAGCTGCTTCGACCTCGGAGCGGCGGGACACCCACTCCCACTGCCCTTCCTGGACCCAAGCTCTGCTTGGAGTTCCTAAACTCGGACAGCAGGCAGGCCGCCGGTCGCTCCGACTGCGGGCAGCGAGGGTCCCATTCTGAGCCTAGGATGGGATTGCTTAGTTTTGTTGGAACTCAGCGGGCACCAGCTTTTGCAACCCGCGGGAGCCCCAGGATTTCTTTCCCCAATCCGGGAGGCAAACGCTCAGCTTCTCTAGACTCAGGCCGGGGACTGGGGGTATTGCCTCCTTGAGCCTAGGCGGCTGGCTACCTCAATTTCACATCTCCAAACCCGCTGAAACCCAGCTTTCCTGAACTCGGGCATTGGGGGACCCAGCCTCCAAACTCTTCGGTCTCCACTTCTCATGGGGGAGCCTGGAGGAAGACCCTCTGTGTTGGGCTTCCCTTCTTGAGCTAGCTGGAGACACGTGGAAGGTGTCTCGCCTGGTAGGGCCTGCGGTGGGTTAGCTATGATCCCATCTGGGGAGGCAGGCCCACCCCGGCCTCCATCCAGCTCCCTTGTAAACAACCACAAAAGCATCCAAGCGCCAAAGGGACCCATTAGAAGGCAGTGCTCCCTGCAGAACAGGTTCACAATCATCTTGGTGGTGGTGCCAGGCAGGGGGCCAGCCAGGCCCTTGAAAGAAGCTGGGTCCTCCCAGTGGGGGTGGTGGGTGCGTGTCAAGGACAGTTTTGGGCTGTTGTGACCAGCTGTGACCCTGGCAGTTGCTGAAACCTGAGACCTTCCTCTTAGATTCGTCAGACTGAAGGGAATAAGCAGTGCTGAGAAAAGCCTCTGTTTCCTGAAGAAGGACTGAGGCTCAGCGGCTCCGCTTTGTTTCACTTCGTTCTGGAAGCATTTTCGGGGTTTCTGCCTTAGATGGAGACTTCTTTTTTTTTTTTAATTTCCACTTTTCAGATGTGGAGACTGAGAGTTAGAAAGGTGCGTGGGGTCCCTGAAGCAGGAGGTGGCCGGTCTGGGATTTGGTCCTGGGGCTGTGCTATTTCCAGGGGCTGGCAGCCTCAGCAAAGGTGCCGTATTAGCTCATAAACTAACACGTGGGCAGTGCTGTGATAACATCTGACGACACAGCGAGCCTCCAGCAAGGTCATTCCCTTATTACCCTCCTCTTGTCCAGGCCTTTGGCTGTGAGAGTATCAGCGGGCCAGGCCGACGAGTGGGAAGGGTTTGTCTAGAAAACACCGAGTGCCGCGTTCAGGCCTGGGGTCTGGAGTTGGGATGGGCCCAGGAGCCTTGGGTGCCCTGTGAGGAGCCAGCGGAAGCCATTCATTCTCTTCCCACAAATCAACAACAGGAGCAATGATGGAATGTCCCAACACTCCTGCCATGTACCCGCCCCTGTGATAAATCCTTTGTGAGCATCAAGTCCTCAGCTTCCTGCGAGAGATGCTGTTGCCCCATTTTGCAAATGAGACACGGGCTCAGAGAGGCTGGGTGCGCCTGTCTGGGCCGGTGAGCATCAGGCTCAGGAATCAGCTCGTGCCCTTTTGAGTCCCAAACCCGAATTCGTACCGCTGTACATATCCATAAACTGTGGCAGATTTTCAGGTTTTCTTAGATCTCCCAGAATTCTGTCTTGGCTGAAACGTGGAGTCTGCCTCCCCTGTTGGGAGGTGGGCCTGTCTGGCCTGACTGCCACCGCACTCTCCTGTTCCCACAGAGACCGAGCCCCTCCTGACCCCCGGCCTTGGGTATGGGACCCAGACGGGGGCTGCGCCAGCCCCTCCCGCCTCTCTGGACGAGGAGGACCTCCGCCGCCGTCTCAAGTACTTCTTCATGAGTCCCTGTGACAAATTTCGGGCCAAGGGTCGCAAGCCCTTTAAGCTGATGCTGCAGGTGGTGAAGATCTTGGTGGTCACGGTGCAGGTGAGGCCTGCTGGGGCCTCTGCAGGGTGCTGCCTGTGGCCACTGGTCTCCTTGAAGGAGGGTCTGGGAGTTGGAACCTCATCGGGACCCCACAGCAGCATAATGGCAGTAACAATGGCAGTAACGAATCAGAAAACCCTCTGAGCTCCGTATGTGAGCAGTTCCTTTAAGGCTCACACATGTCCTCCAAGGTCCTGGCAACTGTTACTACCTCCACTGTAGACAAGGCACGTGAGGCTCAGAGCGGTTAATTCTTTCAACAGCTCCATGAAGCAGGCAACTGTGATTGAGTGTCCCCTTTTTGCAAATGACAACACTTGGGCACATGGAGCTCAAAGTGGCACAGCACCCAAACACTGGGGTTTGCTGGCACTGGAGCCCTGGCAGCCTGATGCCATGTTGACGCTGAAAGAGAACTGACCCAGTGACTGAGAAGATGCCAGGCCCTGTGCTGGGTCTGGTGATCCCAGGATGCCCTAGGGAGCTGTGAGTGTGGGCACAGAGCTGCGCTTCTCGTTTCCCCTGTAAAGGGACCCAGCAGTGTGGTACCTACCGCATAGGTTTGGGATTAGCATGGAAGTTGGCATCTGATAAACATTGAATGAACATTAGTTGCCACCCTGAGGTACATGGGTGTCCGCTGTGTGCCATGCATTGGGAGCAAACAGTGGGCACGGAAGATGGGGACGTGTGCCTTTATGGAGTGGGTCCCTCCTCTCCTCTTCCTCCGCTGATCCATGGAGGGAGGCCCCATCCAGCAGTGTCTACCCCCTGTCCCTCCCACCAGCTCATCCTGTTTGGGCTCAGCAACCAGGTGGCAGTGACGTTCCGAGAGGAGAACACCATCGCCTTCCGCCACCTCTTCCTCCTGGGCTACTCTGATGGGGCGGACGACACCTTCGCAGCGTACACACGGGAGCAGCTCTACAAGGCCATCTTCTACGCCGTGGACCAGGCGTGTGCAGGCGGGGGCGGGCGGGCAGGCGTCGGGGGAGGCGCAGCGGGCAGGGCTGACGGACCCTCCCCCTTCTTTGCCCGCCCACAGTACCTGATGCTCCCTGATGTGTCGCTGGGCCACTACGCATATGTGCGGGGTGGGGGTGGCCCCTGGGCCAATGGCTCAGCCCTGGCCCTCTGCCAGCGATACTACCACCGTGGCCATGTGGACCCAGCCAACGACTCCTTTGACATCGACCCGATGGTTGTCACTGGTGAGTGGACAAGGCGGGGCTGAGTTATCAGGGAACCTTACCTGCTGGGATTCAAATCCCAGCTCTACCCTCACTCTTTTAGGAGATGGGGTTGTCTTGAGTATTCCTAATTTGTTGTATGCAGTGTGCCCAGAAGGATGCTTGGCTGCAGAAAAGGCTAGATGTTAGGTTTTAGTGTCATTAATTCACTAAACATTTGAGGTCCTACAGAGGTCCAGGCCCTAGGGTCTGTGCAGGGAATAGACAGACCGGGCCCTACCCTGGCGAGATACAGGGGAACAAACAACAAATGTTCAAGGACAAAGTGAATCGGGGAGGGGTCTGTCAGGGACTCTGGGAGACCTGCCTGTGCCTCTCCCATCCCACGCCCCTTCCCTGACTCCCTGTTTTCAGATTGCATCCGGGTGGACCCCCCCGAGAGACCCCTTGTGCCCCCCGGTGATGATCTCTCCCTCTTGGATGGCAGCACCAGTAGTTACAAGAACCTCACGCTCAAATTCCACAAGTACTGCCTCTCGGAGGGGCCGCCCTAGGGCTGGGCGGGGAGGCAGGAGGCTGAGTGAGCACTTCCCTCTGCCAGCTGCAGAGTCAGCATGGGGCAGCAGTGGTGGCACCCGAGGGCCCGAGGGAGCTGCGGAGGCTCCTCCGCTTGACCGGACCCCTCCCCTTAGGCTGATCAACGTTACCATCCACTTCCAGCTGAAGACCATCAACCTTCAAAGCCTGATCAACAACGAGATCCCAGACTGCTACACCTTCAGCATCCTGGTGAGCCTGTGGGGTCCAGGGCGAGAGCATGGACCCACCGGTGACCTCGGGTGGGAAGCAGGGGGTGGTGCCACAGGCCTTCGGAGCCCCAGGGCTGGGTACCCTGGGCAGCATGGGGATGATGGAGAAGCGGGGACCAAGCGGACCCGCCTTCGTGCGGGTCCGGGAGCCTAGGCCTGCCAAGGCTTACTCTACACCCACTGCAGATCACGTTTGACAATAAGGCATACAGCGGGCGTATCCCCATCAGCTTGGAGACTCAGACCCACATCCAGGAGTGTAAGCACCCCAGCGTCTTCGGGCACGGTGAGCCCTCAAACTCCAGACGAGTGCTGAGCAGGGGCCCTGAACTGCCCAGGGAGCCCCAAGCCCCAGACGAGCGTCAGCCGGGGACCCTGACCAGCACTGACTGAGCTCCTGACTCAGTAACCCATGAGCCCACTGACCAGCCCAAGCCAGCCTTACAGTCCCCTAGGCCTGGCCTCGCCCCAGCCCTGGCCTCTGAAGGCCCCAAGCCACCCCGGCTCTACCCAGTGCCCCCTCCCCACAGGAGACAATAGCTTCCGGCTCTTGTTTGATGTGGTCGTGATCCTTACCTGCTCCTTCTCCTTCCTGCTGTGTGCCCGCTCCCTGCTCCGTGGCTTCCTGCTGCAGAATGTGAGAGCCACCCCAGTGTCACATGTGCCCAAACCAGCCTCGCCCAGTTCTGGGGCCTTACAGGAGGCTCCCATGCCTGAGGCCCTCACACTCGCTGCTCCTGCAGGAGTTTGTACGGTTCATGTGGCAGCAGCGGGGACGAGCCATCAGCCTGTGGGAGCGGCTGGAATTTGTCAATGGCTGGTACATCCTGCTGGTCACCAGTGATGTGCTCACCATCTCGGGCACCATCATGAAGATTGGCATCGAAGCCAAGGTGGGTCCTGCCCACACCTTGCCCGGGCCTCTGGTGGCCCCTTCCAGGCCCTGGGCCCTCTACTGCCCCCACTGATGCCCACCTGGGGCCACATTCCCCAGCCAGATGGGGTTGACACTGCTCTTGTCCCAAGAACTTGGCCAGCTACGACGTCTGCAGCATCCTCCTGGGCACCTCAACGCTGCTTGTCTGGGTCGGCGTCATCCGCTACCTGACCTTCTTCCATAAGTACAATGTAAGCCCTCTTGTGCAGGCCGGGCCCTCCCTCCGGGTGGTGGCCACGTGTTCCCCAGTTCCCACCCCCAAAATTCATACATTCATACACATGGGGCAGTCACCAGCCCTTGCAGATGACCGTTCAGCCCTCTACCTGCCCACCCCAGATGTGCCTGTCCCTGAACCTGGGCCGGGGCCACGTGAGCCTGCCCCCTCATAGCCGTCCCGCTGAGTCCAGTCACCGGGCGCCCTCAGCCCCAGGCTGCCCCGTCGCAGCTCCCCTGGCTGCGCCCCCGGCCAGGCCCTGCCTGCTTGACCCCGTGCTCACTGCTGGCCGCGTTGAGACCATGCTCTCATCAGCCGTCTGTCCCCTGCAGATCCTCATTGCCACACTGCGGGTGGCCCTGCCCAGCGTCATGCGCTTCTGCTGCTGTGTGGCTGTCATCTACCTGGGCTACTGCTTCTGCGGCTGGATCGTGTTGGGGCCCTACCATGTGAAGGTAAGGCTAGCCAGGGCTGGTGAGGGGTGCTCATGACCCACAGGCAAGGGTTCCCTGGCTCCCCTTCCCCAAACCTACACCGTAAGCCCTCAGATCCCCGGTTTATTTATCACTGACCTGGCCATACCGAGGGACCCCTGGTACTTCACTGACAGGTCTGCAGTGGGTCTGGCACTGACCTTAGGACCTTATTGACACGATGACCCCCCAAATAGCCACACCGTAACTGCTAATATTCTGCCCACTGTCCCTCTGACCCCCCAGTCACCCTGGTCTTGACCATACAACCCTGTTATTACACAGGAACCCCCAGGTGGTCCCATGATAACGACTGGTACTCTGTCTGCTGTCCTCTCTGGCCCCCGGTGCCCCGACCCAGTCTCCAGCCATGCTCACAGCTGCCTCTGTCCCCACGATCGCACTGACCTCACTGTCCCCCCACAGTTCCGCTCACTGTCCATGGTATCAGAGTGCCTCTTCTCGCTCATCAATGGGGATGACATGTTCGTGACGTTCGCAGCGATGCAGGCCCAGCAGGGCCGCAGCAGCCTTGTCTGGCTCTTTTCCCAGCTCTATCTCTACTCCTTCATCAGTCTCTTCATCTACATGGTGCTGAGTCTCTTCATCGCACTCATCACCGGTGCCTATGACACCATCAAGGTCAGCCTCGCAGCCCTTCCAACCTGCTTCCCCGTGGGGCCAACCCACATCACACAGCTCCAACCTGGGCTTCGTGTCCCTTGGAGGCTGCCACATTGGGGTCTCAGGGGACACGGCGGGGCAAGGAGAGAAGGGCCCAGGGGGAGGATGTGGGAGACTGCCGAGCCAAAGGAGGTGGCGGCTCGGAATTAGAGGGCCCAGGCAGGACTGATGCCACGAGCACAGCTGCCGCGTTCTCCGTTTGACCAAGGTAGGGCTCCGGCCAGGTAGGGTTCTTGCGTCTGCTTTTACCAACAGGGACATCAGGCTGTACAGATTCAGCGACTTACCCAAGGCAACTAAGGGTAAAGCCAGGCTCAACCCAGGACTTGTGGATTCAGAGGCCTTGCTCCTAAGCGCTCTGGCCTGGGCAGGGGCTGTTTGGGTCCGGGAGCCGTGGTTGTCCTGCAGGCTGCGGGGATTAGAGGAGGGAAGGGTTAGAGCAGAATGGGGGCGTGGCAGGTAGATAGGATTCTTTTACCCAACCTGTCTGAGGGCCTGTTGTGAGCCAAGCGCTGTGCTGGGCACCAGGCATCTGGGAAACAAGGTGCGGTGTGGTGCACCGCCTGGGCCTGTGCAGGGCAGAGGGCAAGGTGGGTGATGTCTGATGATTGGCTGGCAAGAGGTATGAAGACAGTAAAGTTTCTAGAATATGCTTTTCAATACTAGTCTCCAACCACATGGGGCTATGTAAATTTTTATTTTAATTAAAATTAAATCCAATTCCAAATTCAATTCCTCACTCACACCATCCACGAATCGGGTGCCCAGGAACCTATGTGGCTAGTGGCTTCCAGATAGAACAGCACAGAATTGGTCATCTCAGAAAGTTGTAGATTGAAGAGATGGGAGCCCAACTGAGGGAGCAGCAGGGAGAAGGGACAGCCTGAGCAAAGGCCTGGTTGCCACAAAAAAGTCCGGGAAGGGATGGTGGCTCCTGCACGAAGTTGGGAGGCTGAAAGCTGCGATGGTCACTCGGAGGGACTGCCGAGGGACGAGGGAAGTGGATGTTGGTCAGTGAGAAATGGCGGCGAGGAGGTGGAAGGGAGGGCAATCTCAAGGGGCCCCTTCATGCTGGCCACCCCGCCTCTGTCCTCCCCACAGCACCCGGGCGGCGCAGGCGCGGAGGAGAGCGGGCTCCAGGCCTACATCGCGCAGTGCCAGGATAGCCCCACATCCGGCAAATTTCGCCGCGGGAGCGGCTCGGCTTGCGGCCTGTGCTGCTGCTGCAGGTTCGAATCCGGGTGGGACCGGGGCCTGGTGGAAGGGGAGGTGCTGGAGGGAACTGCTGCCTTCCTCCCGGCAAGACACTGCGCCTCCTCCAGGGACGCCTCGGAGGAGCATTCGCTGCTGGTGAATTGACCTGGATCACGACTGCCACTGGACTTTAGCCCCAGGATCCCGGTCTCGGGAGAGCCTTGCCTATTTATTTTTAGGGTCTTTAAGGACCGGCTTCCTGTAGCACCCTGTGAGGATGTGGGCCAGTTGGGCGGGACAAGGGTAGGGTGGGTGTTAAATAAAACGGGAAAGTAAACTAGTTGACATTTCTAGCGGGAGGGGCATTCCCTGCGCCAACTGGGCTTCAGCCCCTTTCCTACACCCTGGCCACACTCGGAATGGCTGGCTCCTCGCGATCTTCCAAACATGGAGCGGGGCGGGGCCTCGGTGCGCCCTGCGGCAAATAACTTAAAGGGGCCACGCTTGCCGCGCTGGGCGGAGCTCCAGCGCTGTTGGCACTGAGTGGACCCCGGCTGCGGCCTCTGGGTGAGTCCGGGTTTCCGTCGCCCCCTTAGAGGCGTCCCTTCAGGGGTCGTTAGCTAGCTCTCAGCTTTCTCAAGATCTCTGCCGATTTCTGATACCCCCGACTTTCTGATGCTGTCACCCCCACCCCCACCCCGTTCCGAGTAGGTGTTTCCTTACCGGTAGCTAGGTGTACCCTAGAGTGGAAGGGGACTAGCGCCCTCCTCCCACCTCCCCGCAAATGAAATTTCCAGGTAATGTCTCCTGGGTCCAGTGACTCCCACAAATTCCCATTAATGCTTGAGCACCGGCAGAAACAGTCCCAGTCTCCCAGAAAAGTGCCAGTGATAGTTCAGCATTCCTCGGTATCTTTCAAGGAGCCCCGGCGCCCTCCCTAGGTCCACTCTCATGCTCGAACGACCCCAGAATATGCACTCGGCTCCCGGTGTTTCCAGTAATAGTTCTGCACGCCTCAGAATCCCTCAGTTCCTCAGTGCCCCCAGTCATTCCAGCGTCCCCGGTCACTTCGTCCGGCAATGGCGCCAGCACCTTTCCCCCTGTTCCAGTGATGCTCCGCGCCGTCAGAGACCCTGTAAATTTTCAACTGCGTGACAGCAAACATCCAGCACCAACCAGTAACATTGTAGGAGCCCACCCGACTTCGACCGTCCTAGCCCCTTGTGTAGGAGCTCCCAGCAGCACTCGGGGGGCAGGCTTGAGCCGGGGGGCAGGCTTGAGCCGGGAGCCAGGCATCTCCATGACCTCTGCGCTCAAGACTCGTTTTCGCAGGAAGAACGGGGTGCGGCCTGGGGTCGGTGGGTCAGGGTTCACCCATCCCGTAAAGTCCTGCGTCGGGGGCGTGTCCCTCAGCAATCTTGCCCCTGCTGCTCGCAGTGGGTGCCCGGCTGGCAGCCCTTTTGCTCGGGGTGGGGGCTGGTTGGCCTGGGGCGTCGGTGAAGGGAGCCTGGCGGAGAGCCGGGGACCTGTACACGCCCCAGCCTGGACCCCGAGGTCCTTGCGCCCCACCCCTGTGCCCGCTGCTTCCCTCTAGCTGTCCCCCGCCCCCAAAGCGGGACGAAAGGGCAGGGCTTGCGGCAGGGGAGGGGCGGGCCCAGAAGGACGACTTGCATGGGTTCCACTGGCTAGCCTGGGCTATGCTTATTGATTCCCAGAATTCAAGGCTACCAGACCCGCCACCCAGCCTGAAACAGCTGATGGAGGCCCCGTTGCAAACAGGAATGGTAAAACACCGGGGTTGTGAGACGCCGCGAGACTACGACTCCCGACGTGCTCAGCGCGTATCATCGCAGTCCCACGAGAACGGGGCTGCGTCCGCTCAGGCGGAACTACATTTCCCGGCGTGCACCGCGGGGCCGCAGGGAAGAGTCTCGCGCCCCTCCGGCCGCGGGACAGGGGAGCGCTGGTCCACCCTGCAGATGGAGAAACCGAGGCCCGGGGCGACTGTGAACTTCTCGGGGGTGCACGTGGCGGGGCAGAATGATGTCGAGGACGTCCTTGTCCCCGGGGATGGCTCGGTGGGGCGGGTATGCGATGCGCAGCCAGTGCCGTTCGTCCCGCAGGTGTTGGGTGTGATGATCGGGACCGGAGTCGCGGTGTTCGTCACGGCCGTGCTCATCGTCCTGCTAGTGCGGAGGCTTCGAGTGACGAGTGAGAACCCGGAGGATCCCTCTGGGGAGGTTGTGTTGTGGGGAGCTGAAATGCCGGGTCCCGGAAGCAGTAGAGATGGGATTTGCTGGGGTCTGCACGCAGTGTCCTCATCTCTGGCCGCGTGGAATCTGCACAGAGCTCAGTGTCCCTCTCCTCTTATCCCCAGAAACCCCAGCCCCGGATGGCCCGCGGTATCGATTCCGGAAGAGGGACAAAGTGCTTTTCTATGGCCGGAAGATTATGCGGAAGGTGAGTCTAGGACAACCTGGGGCTTCAGCTGACCACACCTAAACCTTGCCCTTAGTCTAGTTTCAACTCTTCGGAAACCCCCCCGCCCCCGTCTTGATTAAGGACCTACATATCTGGATGTCCTCTTCCCCAGCGTCTGAACGGGCAGTTGACCCATCCTTGCCCTTCCTTATCATAGGTGTCACAATCCACTTCCTCCCTGGTGGACGCCTCTGTCTCCACCACTTCCCGGCCACGCATGAAGAAGAAACTCAAGATGCTGAACATTGCCAAGAAGTAAGGCTATGCTGAGGATACTTGGCTCTGGGGGCTATCATGGGCCTTTTGAGTGGTCAGCCCACACTAAAGGGTGTATCTCGAGGTTCTTTCGGCCCCATGGACTCTCTGGGGAGTCTCCTCACATCAGAGTGCTATCTCAGAACTCCCCCACAGCAGACAGTCTGTCTTTGGGGTCTCTGTCTACTAGGGGCTATGTCAGTGATTCCCTACCAGTGACATCCCTGAAGTATCTAGGAGCTATTTGCTCTTCAGTCAGTGTCTCTGACACCTGTCATACAGTAGGGGCCTTTATCTCTGGTGTCAGTGTAGGCTGTTTCACGGGTCTCCTCACACAAAAGGTGCCTTGCTGGGGTTATCTCAGGTGTTTGTTCTCCTGGGGTTGCCTTAGTAGTGCTGGACAGCAGGAAGCGTCTCACTGCGTTACCTGCCTTGGAGTTCTTTATGACCAAGGAAGTCATGTCAGGGATTTCTGTTCCCTAAGAGTCATCTCAAGAATTTTTTTGCCCTAGAAACATAAGAAGGACATTTCAGGGGCACCTATCTTTAGCAAAGGGCTCCCTCAGGGTCTCTGAGGGAGGCTCTTCCAGGGCTCTAAGTTGGGAGCTGGCTCTGGGTCTCCTGACATCATGGGGTCCACTTCATGCAACGTTATGAAGGTCTGTCTCCAGGGTTGTTTCGCACTAAGGGGATATCCCAGGGCTGTCCATGGCCAACAGATGTCCTTTCACATGGCCTTCTGTGACTTGAGAAGGGCTGTCTTGAGTTCTCCATGACCAGACAGTGTCTCGTGTCTCTCCACATGTCTTGTCTGCACAGCCCTGATGTCATGGCCGCCGAGGGCTACCTTAGGAATCGGGGGCCTGGGGGAGGGCCAGCCCCAGGGCTTCCCTGTTCAGAGGAGGGGCTGCACCTGGATTTCTCCATGTCATGGAGCTTAACTCGGGGGGCTCCTCATACCAGAGGCTCTATCTCAAGCATCACGTAGCCACTGCAGTAGCTGACTTGCAGAGAAGGGCTCTCCCAGGTCTGTGAGTAGCACAGAGGCTGTATCTGGGTTCTCCTCTTTGATGCAGGCTCTCTCAGGGGTCTCTGTGACTATCCAGGGGGCTGTCTCAGGACTCTCTGAGGCTAAGAACATTGCCAAGGTTCTCTGAGAGGTTCTCACAAGGCTCCAATGAGGAACAGAGGAGCTGTTTCTGAGGTCCCCTCATATCGCAGCAGCCACCCCATGGGTCTGCCGACATCAGAACGGCTATCTCAGGAGTCTGGTCTGTGGTTACTGGAAGGGTATGGGTCCCATGAGAAGCAGCGTTTTCTCTAAGGTCTGCCCATGTCTTGGAAGCTATGTCAGGGGTCTAGCTAGAGGGTTGGTCTCAGGGGTCTGACTAGTGGAGAGTTGATCTCAGGGTTTTACATAAGGGGTCAGCAAATTTTTTCAGTATAGGGACAGAGAGTAGATATCTTAGGCTGTTCAGGCCACGTACAACGCAGCTCTAACTAATTGGCGCTGCTGTTGTAGCATGAAAGCAGCCACAGATAACATGTACATGAATGAACATGTGCATGCGCCAATAAAACTTTTTTTCATTTTAAAATATATTTTATTGATTATGCTATTACAGTCGTGGCATTTTTTTCATCCCCCTTATCCCTTTCTTCCCTGTACCCCCCTTCTACCACCATTCCACCCCCCTCCTTAGTTCATGTCCATGGGTCATACATATAAGTTCTTCGGCTTCTCCATTCCCTATACTATTCTTAACCTCCCCCTGTCTATTTTGTACCTACCATTTATGCTTCTTATTCCCTGTACCTTTCCCCCCATTCTCCCCCGCCCCCTCCCCTCTGATCTCCATTTCTGTGATTCTGTTCCTGTTCTAGTTGTTGGCTTAGTTTGTTTTTGTTCTTTAGGTTCAGTTGTTGATAGTTGTGAGTTTGTTGTCATATTACTGTTCATAGTTTCATTCTTCTTTTTGTTAGATAAGTTCCTCTAACATTTCACATACTAGGCTCGGTGATGATGAACCCCTTTAACTTGACCTTATCTGGGAAGCACTTTCTCTGCCCTTCCATTCTAAATGATAGCTTTGCTGGGCAGCGTAATCTTAGATATAGGCCCTTGCCTCTCATGACTTTAAATACTCCTGTGCCAATAGAACTTGATGTACAAAAAAGAAGTGAAGGATAGCCCTGGATGGTGTGGTTCAGTGGATTGAGCGCTGCCTGAGAACCAAAATGTGTCTGGTTCGATTCCCAGTCAGGGCACATGTCCTGGCTATATCTGGGTTGTGGGCCAGGTCCCCAGTAGGGGGTGTGCAAGAGACAACCAGTTGGTGTTTTGCTCCCTCTCTCTCTCCCTCCATTCCTCTCTTTCTATAAAGAAATACTTAAAACCTTTAAAAGAAAAAACTAGTGGAGGACCTGAGTTGGCCAGTGGGCCAGATTTGCTGACCCCTGTTCTTTGGTGATCCTGTTCTTTGGTGTGGAAGGTCTGTGTAGGGGTCTCGGGTCTGCCTGAGCCTTCTCCCTGCTCCCCCTGTACCTTTCTTCTCCCACCAGGATCCTG